GTATGCGTACGTATATCTGGTGTATGTACGTCCGTGTCGAACTAGCACATGTAGTGGTGTTGATAAGTAATTTCATGGAAGTTGGACTGCCAGTTTCATTAGCCATTAACTTGATTGATAAATGACTGTTTTCCGCACCATGAAATTATAGTTATCAACAAACCTCTCGGAGAAATAATGTTTGATTAAGGCACGGCGATAATGCCGGCCACCAAATCAGCTACACAATATTCTTCGCCCTCCCCAACCACCACTTCTTCATCCCACTTACAAAAAAAGGTTTATGCTCTGCAATGATTTCTAAAAAATCTTGATGTGGCTGTGTTTGCATACAAGTTTCTGTGCAGGTAAATCAAAGCATTGCTAACAGTTAGCTTCGTTGATCAATTATAAAATTAATACATACGTAAATCTACGGACAATTAATTTCACAAAAAAATCATATTCCTACACACCATTTCAAAAAATTGGGCCAGAAATAATTGTGTTTCCTCAAAAATTGAATGAACTGCGAGTTCTCATGAAAAGTGCTCGTGTGTACGTACAAGAGATGGAACGAGCGATATGAACCCTTTTTCCAGTACCACGATCAGAATAATATCACCCAGTTTGAGCTAATTGAATCAGGATTTATGGCCAACTAATTGACGCCTTTCATTCTGGGGCTCGCTTTTTTATCGCCAAAGGAGCAGTAAGTAGCGTAGTGGTGGCCAAATTGTAATAGTTTTCGTGGGGTGGGAATAATAATCTACGGCGATGGGAATTTTGTTGGTGTTGAGTTAAGTGGAGGAGGTCGGCATCATTTTGAGCCTAACAAGTTATTATTATTATTATTTCGTGCGTTTTACTGCTTCGCCTTTTAGTTCTTCCGGCACCGAATTTGGATCGGAAACTGGAAAGCTGGAAACATATGCTGGCTGGCTGGCTTCCTTTATCAGCACGGAGGTTCAAAATTGGGCTTGGATGACGATTAGGGTTTTCTCTCCGTATCGTTTGTTCGTGCCCCGCACTTGTTATTTTTATTCTACCCGAAAGTACTTTTATTACGCCATCGCCAGAAAGTAGTATCGGGGTTGCTTTTAGTCCTCGTCTGTACAAACATTTGTGCAATGGGACGTCCCATTACTGCCAATATTGAGCACAAAGGATTTATAGGCGAGAAAGCAATGAATCCTGAAAGTCGATTGGTCCATCTTGTGCGTGTGGTGACATATAAAACAAGTTTTCCCATTGAGATGAACTACTTTGAGGGCTCATCAATCAAGTCCTGCTAATAAATGAATGTCATCTTTCGTGCAAAGACAAGATTAGAGGGAGAGATCGGCAACCGGACTGCTCAAATCAGACCATTTCTCCTTCAAGGCTGTCAGTGAGAAGCCATCAGAATAATGAGGAACCATTGTTACATTTAGCATTTACAATTAGCAGAGAAATGATGATCAAGTCCATGGGTCCATGTGCATCAAGATCAATCACACTGTAAGAGCAGCAATGCTGCGAAAGAGTGTCTCGACTGTTTCGAAAGTCCACCTATATCTACATGCACTTGTCTCCCAGTTCGATAGGAAGTCTGCATGTGGAAGTAAGTTTGGTCGTAGATTTGTGAGGATGATATCACTTTCACCTCTTCACTGAACCATCCATAGATAATCGACAATGAGATGAATTGCCGTCCATCCCACTGTAATTACTTACACCAACACCCGCTCCTTCCACTTTCTGTACAGGCATCACCAACACCTGTTTAATTTAAGGCGTAACCGATCCATTTAATAAGGCGAATGAGAGCCCATTGTCCACTTGCTGAACCTCATTGTGCTAAACGATCTCACCATCATCGTCCGCGCCAGAGACCACCAAAAGAAATTAATCCAACTGCCGACACCATTTTTAATTACAAATTACAGAGCCTTGCCTTCACGTCAGTCACACAATGTCTCGCATGCATTTATCCCTTCCTTCGGTTGGTCAGTTGCTTCGTACATAAGCGATGCCACGACAAACGGAGCTCTTGATTTCTGATTCCAATTGACTGACAATGATTAATTGCAGACGACATCAGAGTGGAGATAAGTGTCGTACCAAAACACCCATCTTTTACTTCTCCGTTTTGACATGCATCACAATACATCATGAGCATATCATTATTATTACGCTTATTATTATCATCATTTATGTACTCCAATAATATTTTCGTCACAAAAGAACCTGCACATACTGTGATGTCTGATGCATAAAATCTACGTATGTCTGGTCAATGTAAATGCTAATAAAAATGGTACGGTTGGTCCTAAGTTTGGTCTCTCGCCTGCATCACCCCATTTGCTTATTGATTAATTGATTAATCAATGTTGTATTGATAAAATAATATGCTTCGACCGTACCATCGTCTCCATTTTCAATCCAGCAGCGGGGCCAAGAGAATGGTGGCTAATAATAATATCTGATATCCGGAAATTGTATATAGTTGCGTGCCTTCGTCATAATCATTGATAAAAACCATGGGTCGTCGCAATCTGATTTATTTGTCCTGGTATTTATAGCAAAAACTTGTCTCTCACAACAATCAGTCTCATTTTATTATCCAACTTTTGGCTTTGCCTTGCAGTATTTGCAGAATCAATGGCATACATAATAAAAATACCTTGAATTGAACAAAAATGTATTCGACATATCTATTTTATATCCCACAACGCAAAGAAAGGGTGAAATAAATAAGTAGTCCGTCTACCCGTTGGGTCAAATAGCCTGGAAATGCATATTATGTCAGAATAATTCATGTTGTACACATCAGGCATGACTAATCGGACAGTGTGACCTTATCATTTAATTATTTACACATCTTACATAATTATACTTATGTATGTGCATATACTGTTCCGCTCAAAAAGTCCAGTCTACTCTGAGCATAAATATTTCTTAAATTTACATGTATGATCGATTTGAGACAATACTTTCGATCAAAATAGCTCCAAACGTAATCCAATCATATTCTGGAACAGTAACATCAGCAATAATTATGCTGGTGCTTCAAGAGACTGAAAAGACCTGTCGTACACGTGGTGCGTTAAGCGCAAACAATTCCTGAACGTGAGTTTTATTGAGTTAGGCAAAAATTTGAACCCGATCCGTAATGTATTTACTTGTGTATCTGGCAATCAACTTAATGAGGAGCCATTAGTACTTTTCTTGACGAAAATATTTTCTCATCTTGTTCTTTTGTTCTATTGTAAGCGGATATGACCCCTGGAACAAAGCACATCGCGATAAACAGGGAAATCATTAAAAATGTTTTGTATTGGATCCACTGCACAAATCACCATTAAAGAAATCTACACTCCTTACTCGTCTAAAGATTTGTAATAATAATAAGTTTCCAGAGTTGGATGGATTCCATTTTGCGCCTGTGTCATTAAATAAATGGAATATTAATGTTGTATAAGCTTCACCCAGCAATTGTGGAATCAGGAGGATACTTTTTCCCAATGTTCGTAATCAAATTCATTGGCGTGATCAGATTTTTAGATGCCATGTTGAATGCACGTAGATATTCAGATGCCAAATGAACGATATGGTGGTACATGTGCACACTTGGTATCATTATGGTGGCGTTCTCCGCGAGCTGAGATCGTGATGTATTTGATATCCTCCTCTCTATCTCTCGCCCCATTCAAATTAAGGGATTTGAATATTAAAATGTAAATTGTAATTGGATACTTTGGTAAACTTCTTTTCTTCCTGATTTCCATCCAGGTGAACCTCTCCGAATAATGGCGCATGACAATCCACCAGTTTGTGGGGAGTCACATTATTATCGAAAGCTACCCTGCTTGCTTCTGCCAAATCAAAAATCAGATCTATGATCTTTGTTGAACATGAGACTCTCCATAAAAAGGATGCGTCTCGTTCACTCCGTTATATAAAAGGAACGGGAAACTTATCCACAAATCTGTTGTTGATGAATGCATGCACAAGTTTCCCAACTTTTGATTTATTAACAAAGAACTCTTACAAACTCCTTTTGGTTTGATGATCGTTACCATTTTGATCATCAAGTTTGTATCTTTTGCATATGCACAAGTAGAAGGTCGATAAAAAATGATGCTGCTTATTCATTCGAGTTGATTGAGACGCTTTGTGCGAATAATGTGTATCAGGATCAGTGAATTTAAATTGTTGGTTGCTACTACTGAAATCGAATCCCAATGGGCAAACGGTGTAAACACAGTTGTACGAATCGGTTTGTTGGTTTTACATGCATTCTACGGCTGCGACCATCCTTTCGTTGGGTCTGTTATGATGAGTTACAATTTTCAATCCGAATCTTGACAAGAATCGCTGTGATGATCAATAATGAGGGATGAATAGGTTCAGCAGATCACTTTCACTCCTCCCCAAAGTTGGGGTTTCCCTTAATTAAAACAGAAATGACTACGTGAAACCGAAGAAGGATGCGAGGGGATAAGGAACAAGTCGAGCGTATGTACTTACATATGTAGGTAAAATGGATATATGTATGAGTTTGACGCAGGAAAATGTATGCTTATTATTTGAATGCATCATATTTCATGTTGTTTTAAGTTCGACATATGTATCTCATGATTGAAAACCAGAAATATTGTACAATGCAAACTTAAAAATGATATTAAACAATTCGCAATAATTGTGCTTTAAAATGCAACAAATTGTCGTAACGTCAATGTGTTTTAGCCACAAATACTTCCCATTGTACATACATATGTATGTAACAATATGCGTTTGTATGAAGAATATATATCTACATTTTTCCTTGTAATACGCGTCTTAGTTCACGACGCGAATAATCAAAAGTGAAATTTCAAGGTTGAACATTACATAATTCCGGTTTTGGATGGATTAATTGCTCTAAATGGAAGGGTCTATTGTTTCAAAAACGAATGCATTCAACTCATTAAGGTCAGAGGATATTTCTTGGATTGATTTTATGATTGATTCGTATGTTTATTAAAATACACGTTGAACTGTTCAATTTTACTTCTCCATCACAAATTAAAGTCACGCCATGAGATCTCGGAAGTACTTCCAGGCAGCGAATCTTCTACTGTTTGGAATTATCCTGTTGTTCATTCAGGTACAACGAGCAAAAGTTAGTGCTTTTCACCATTTTTACGTGTTATTAATGAAACAGAGATTGTGTGATCAAATTATTTATGGTCATTGTCATGTATTGCTGTTTGAACGAGTAAAGTAGCCGAATAAAATTTTCAGACGAAGGAAACTTCGGCCGGAGCGAACCGAGGGGAACGAGGGAAGCTGGTCGTGACAAATAAGAACGACTGCAAATGTCCGAAAGGGGACGACTCGGACTGGAACAATGGAGACTTCTTCTACTGTGGCAGCCAGATCAACTCGGCCAAATGTGACCTCAACGCAGTATACTCTTGCGAGGGGAAGGCGTCAGGTGACGACCCCGTGATAGTGGCGAAATGCAACACGGAATGTCGTCTCAACACTGTCAGCCCTGTCGCCTACTGCGATGTGGAGTACAAGGTTCCCAAACGTGCAAAGTATAGCGGAAATCCAGAAGACCTGAAAAGTCAAACCTAACTTATCATGCTAAAATGACCTAATTATATGTACACAGTTAGAAATGGATGGCGAAAATGATTGACTTGATTAAGGAATGCTAAATTCTTGTTGGTTAATAAAATATATATCTTGTGATACAATTAAAACTGCAGCTATGATAATAAGTGCTTGTGGTACAATTATATCAAGGGTAACTTGTAGTTTCCCTTGATGGGCACCCTGTTCAGCTGATATGTCAATATATCTAATTGTAAGGAAGAGTTTGTGTCGAAAAATCATGCAAATCGGATTAGAAATGACGAAATTATGACTTTGCGATTGTTTGCAATCCGGAGACAATGTCACACGCCACAGTCACGACATATAACAATTTGGGTGTTTTTTCTATTCCGCAACCATACTTGTAACAATTAACACACCTTGTTTATGATCAGGATCCAACTGGACGACACATTCCGAACTAAAAATAATAAAATTGTGCATAATTCCACATATTTCATATAAATTTTTTCTGTGCATTTAACCAACAACTTATTTCCGCTTTTTAATTGCCTAAAAATTAAGTGGGAATTTTTCGACTTCTACTCCGGATGTTTTTGTATATAATTCTTAAATGTGGATTAAACTGATTCAAATTGTAGCAAAGTCAAAATGCACCTCCACACAATCTAAAGTACAAAAACCTTGGGTGTGGTCAAAATATAGAATTTGGACTCCTGGTAGCAAATATTGTGCAGTTGGACATTTATACATACAGTCATAACGGTATCGCCACTTTCTTACATACGAGCGTATCGGTTTGCTATAGTTTATTCTTTTTTAGTTTAATATTTTATTACTGTTTAATGTTTGACTGTATTATTTGAGAGCAGTCTGATGCTCAGCCTCCACCAACTTCATTTGCATGTCTCGCGTATCGTTTCCGACAAATGAGATCCTTTTTCATTTTGACCGTCTCTTCATCCAAAATGCAGCTTTCTGGTTTGGGAAGGGAACATCTGACGACTGGAATGTCCAGATCTGGCTGATGTCCGGGATGTACGGTGATAGGAAAAGCTGAATATGCAAAGTTAGTTTAGCCTTCAAAATTAAGATTTGTGCACATAAGCGAGGATTAAATATATTCCTGATTACATTTGATTTTCAACAGCATTTCTCTTGCCTTGTTGCAAAGAGGTTTAGTGAACGAGGTGCTGTACTCGGACTTGTAGACGTGTCCGTACTGAAAGCAATTTTGAATGAATTAAGCTATGTCTGGCTGGGTTGTTATCGTCGCTTTTGATTCATATGCAGATTATCAGAGGAATTTAATAATCAGTGATTGAAGTCTAACCTCTGAGAGCTTGGGAGCATTGTCGTACTTGATGTGCTGCCGATCTCGCCGTTCTTCCACCCAGTTGTTGAGAAGGACGCGACGTTCGTATCGACATTTCATGGGATTCTCCTCCAGCCCACTTCGCTCCTTGATGTCCGCAAGTCCCAAGTCCACCTTCCACCCTGGCTCGTCGTACACTTCTCCGTAGCCGCCTATAAAGTAACCAAGAAATTAAAAACCAATGCGGGAATATTTGAATTTGCAAACGCGATTATGTAATCAAACCAGAAAGTCTGGGCATAAATACCGGCTCGCATTTGGTAGTGAAATGGTCCTCCAGACACTCTGATGTCCGACATCCGGTTTAACTTTCTCATCAGTATATCGACAGGTTGTCCTTGCATTTTGCATTGCTCCTCGCAGTTGGATATCATCAAATCTCGGCATTTTCCACTCTTGGGAAAGACGTCTGTGCCGTTCGAGGGCATTGAGGAATACATGGTTGAAAATGTAATAGTATATTTAAGGCAATTTTTCGGAAACGTAATAATTTATAAACAGTCCCAATACTATTTGACACTTTATCATTCAATACTTTATCATTCTATATGAGACACCTCGCCATTACAATGGTGTGGAACCAAGATTCCTAAACTTTTTAGCTTGTTTCCGTGGAGTGAATGTATTAGGATTTTGTAATGTAATTTTGTATTAGGATTTTGCATTACAAAATCCTAATACATTCACTCCACGGAAACAAGCTAAAAAGTTTAGGAATCTTGGTGTGGAACAGATTCGTGGAACAGATACCAAAAGTCAAGCAATCTTGGATTTCTTCTAACGATGTTGAGATTGCTATTCGTTTCTATAGTTGAGAAAATTGAGACTCTGATAAATGGGAATACATTTTGGGAAATTGAGACTGGTTGAACATGAAAAGCAACACTGCTGCTGCCACGAGAGGGGAAAATGAGAACACTCGGCTGCTGTTTCAGAGAAGGTTCGCTAGACCTCGCTTCACGTTCGAGTCGTCTCAAATTGTGCTCCTTTTTACTCCCTTTACTTTTAACAAGTCGTCTCACTTTCATCCTCTCAACTAGAATTTGATGTTGTCTGACTTTGACGATGACATTAATGACGTTGAATAAGTTATGCACAACGAGTCTCGCGCGACGATAAGCGATAACTTTGCCAGTCCCATTTTCATCATTGCTTGCTACATTTGACAGAAAGTCGTCATAAATTTTGCTAAATAAATTATGAACTGGTAAATCTTGTAAAATTATCCGACTGGTGACCACCAACTGTCGAGAACACCTGTCAAGGGATGTCGCCACACACGATTTATTAGTTTCCTATCGAGTTCATTGTTCTCGTGTAACGGGGACATTGTTATTTTTATAAAATATGATTTCATGTTTAAATGCACTATTACACAATTTCTGGTCTTCAGCTAGGAGAGCTTGAGAAGAGCGGAGTAGTGCACTGTCCACAGCATAAATAATAAGCCCACGTCAATTTCAAACGTCGAAAAGACACGAACGGCATGAAGGAAGCTCGTTGTAACCAACCAACGCCTCGTCCCAATAACATTTTCATGCAACTTCAAAATCTGAGTCAGCCCGACGACGCTACTTACTTTGTAGCCATGCTACCAAGGCGAGTGGATTTCGGATTAGCAGTCCTCACCACCAAACCAACGCGTAGCAGCTCAAATAACCTAAAACGGAAGGCTGCATATATGAGCGGAGTGGAGAAAGCAACACATTTTGAGCATCCAGTTTGTATAGAGACGTTGTTATTTAGTAGTGCATTGCTGCTACGTGTTTTGTGAGCCATGCTGGAAAAAAGTTGTTGCCTGGATGAAATGGACCCTCGTCTTGGAGATGGTCACCACTGCCATCAATTCAACCGGCCCCTTATTTCCTCGCTCACTTTCTTCCATCCATCCACCAAAGAACGCAGTTTAGCGTATAGCATCCACAAAGATATTTTTGGAACATTTGTCGTAATGATGCCCTTTGTTAAGCTGGATTTAAAATTAGTTTTGCACCATATCGTAATTGAGTTGTTAAAATAGGTAATAAAGGTGATTGGCTATTCGGAATTCTTAATCAGCCGGAGGAATGGATGCAATGTCATAAAATTCTGGTTCTCCGTGTCGTTACAGACCATAGGTTAGCATTTAATTGGTTTAAAGTTTCAAGAAACTCTTTCTCCGTTATCAGGAATGATGATTGACATTGTCACTAAATGTCATTAAATGGGTTTTTAAGGAATGACAAAAATTGGTTGTGAACATGGCCCGCAGTAAAGTTTGGTATGCTGGCTTGGTTCCATTTGAAGTGGTTGGTGAGTAAAAGTTGCATGGCGTTCTTCATTCTCAAAACCCGCTCGACTCAGACGCATATCTGTTTCGGAGTAAAAAGCTTTTGTTGCATTTTCCGACTTATTACTTATTTCTTTCTTTGCTTCCAAGCCTGCCCCACACACGGGCAGCAGCATTGTTCCCCCCACCACCACCACCACCATCCGGCATGCATCCGACCAAAGCAACAAGGTTCGCTCTCCTCCTCCTCGCTCGGCCACTTTCAGAGCGAGAGAGAGTCCCGAACCGATCAGGATGTCGTGTGTGGACTGGCGACGGCGATCAATATTTTTGTTTGCGTTTTCGAGATTATATGTCTTGTGCATGGCTGTCTTTGCTACTTCTCACCACGACAAGAGAGAGAGAGAGGGAAGGAGTGGGTTTGCACATTTGCACTCACAATTTGACTCCTATGTCGCCTGAATTTTTAAAATGACACCAACGAGAGCATTTTGTGGAGGTTCCTCATGGTTTAATGGACTCTTTCTTATTCTCACTCTTTCAATCAGTACATGGTCACAATGCAAAATACGGAATTTCTGTGAAGGAGCATATTTCAAAATGATGTTTGAATGAATATTATGTGGAATTTTGTGTCGGATTGAGAATACTGATTGTGAACTGAATATGCTTGTTCGTGGTCGTGGTGAGGTCGTGTTCTTTCTTCTTTTGAAAGTTCATTTGTACTCATGAAGGGATAGATTTGTGGGAACAGAGTTGGTGGGCATTGGATTGGCATCAAGTTGGAAATGGATGGTGGATGGAGTTGCTATGTGATTTTCTACGACCGACGAGATGCTCAAATGCTAACTATGCACTCTGCACATGACGGTGATACTACCACGACGACTTACAACTATGTACATGTGTAATGCTAATGCATATGTATCATCTCTATTCTATCATCTTGTAGCACACAATATCTCGCTCACTCCCTGCATGCATGCATTACCTAATAGAATCGCCTTTATGTATGAATAAGGTGTATCTCCGTCTCCTCTTCTTCTTCTTCTTGTCGAGTTAACTTTTCAAGCACATGATGATGATGATGATGATAAAGGCATTTTATTTTATGTGGAGAAGGAGTATCAAGAATAAGCAGAGAAGAAGAACAAGAAAAGGACGACGACGACGAAGAAGAAGCGCGTCATGCTACAACCGCTTTGCTTTGTGCCTAAAGTTGTTATTTAGTTGGTGGGGTACAAGTATACAAGTAGTGTTGGAATACCGAAGTCAAGATAAACGACCAAACCCATAATAATATTCACAAAAATATATACACATCCACTCCTCTGTCCCCGTCCGTCCAACGCTGCTTGATTGCTTGGTGGAAGAAGAAGGGGGAGAAGGATTGTTGTTCTGCGCTTATTATTTCATACATGTTACGACTTCCACACACATACCACTCACCTTTTCTTAAACAATGCACTTGGTACGAATCGTGCAATTATTGGAAATGATTTTTATGCGTTTTAATAGATTTAAAGGGTTCGTACGACTTTTCTGATACTATTGTGTAGCATCTCTGCGTTGGTATTTCAATGGTCATTTGCATATAAATACTTTCGGATTGCTGTTGAGGATCCTGCATTACATGCATATTTGTCGTTCAGAATGTTGCATGCAAAACGATTCTTGAGCCAATTTAGGCATTGGACTCAGGTAAAGTCCGGGTGGGAGAGATCATCAAAAGGAGGGTGAACAAGTGTATTTAGCGCAGTTACAATATGTACCTGTTCTCTTTTCCTGCAAGCTGCTGGGGATGAGGAAGGTCCACTCCACACCAATATTGAGCATAGCGTAGGAATTTTTCTGGTCAGGTATGTGTGTGCGAGAGTGGAAAAGGTTACTCGAGAGAAACTGAGGAAAAGTCAAGGCGAGGAAGGATCATTCATGGCGTAGTTGTAGTGGAACAAAAATGTATCTGCCACCATCTCTGCACATGATTTGAGGGCTGTGAAGGACTCAAGGGGACAAAGGTATGCTACGTTCGTACGTATTTAGTAGTGGATGCGATATAGTAAAAAAGGTTGTTGTAATGGGTACGAGAGCTGAGATAGTACATACGACCCTCCAAATGTAATGCCATTAAATATGCTGTTGCATGGTGGATACGTGTGTGTGTGTGAGCTCATAGTAACGAGGTCATTTCGTAGTAAAAGTGATTTTATACACTGTGATGATGATGCTGATGGTCTGCTGTGTGTGTAGTTGGCTCTGGTCCTATTACGAATATTACGATATCGTATTTAGCCGTAGTATTACAATGGATTCTCTGTTTCCAGGTCCCAAAGAACTCTGTATATCAGCAGCATTCGAGAACTCGGCAGTCCACGACGCTGGCCACTTCCACACCACGGAGCAGAGGGATCCTCGTCGTTTTGTGGCATCGGCGTGGTTTCATGGCGCAGACGAGCTTGTTGGAAGTTGGGGTATTGAGTTAGAGTCAGTCAGGGAGTTTTGGAGATTCCCCTTCGCTGGGGGCTGTTGCAGGAGGCCAAGTTCATTCATGACACATAGAAATGGTTTGGTGGTGGATGGAATGGAATTAAGTATTGAGACTTTCATGCAGACTTTACACTGAGAGAGCAGACTCGGATTCCTTCTCTCTCTCCCTCGACCGACGAAAAAACATAAAAAACTTGTAATATTCTTCTTCACCACTCAGGATATCTTCTTTCAAGAGAGAGAGTGTAATACCTATTGGCTGGCAATCGCGGTGGCAGTATGACCATCAGCCTATACATTGCTGGATGATAACATTTCCTCACTCAGTCGCCCATGTAAAAGGGGCAGCAAGCTTGGAATTGCTGCTGAATCAAATAAATGCAGAAACGTCCATCTGAATCCGAGTGTGCATTGGTCATCCACAACGCGACGACGACTGATAACAAACGGTGCGCTCATTAAGAGGAGGTTTGCTCCAAGGATTGGGTTGTCAGTCGGACAGAGAGTGCAAAATCACACAATGGTTCCCATCACCAAGTGCTTGCTGGGCTTGAATCATGGAGTTGGACAGAATTGTTGGGAGTCAAACTCAAAATATTATGATTATTATCCACACGATAACCCAACTCCAGTTTCAGAATGAGGAGGAATTGTTGTAAAGTGTACAACTGGAAGGTCAGGGTTCGGTCGTGGTGTGCAATTGAGACTCAATTTACGGAACTTCATGTCGCCTGTTCTCATCAGTGCTCTCGTCGTCAAAGTCAAAGTGTGACCTGCTCTGGTTTTCTTACGAAGAAGAAGCAAATAAGTTCTTAGCAAAACAATGTAATACATTTTGTGTTCATTATTTAGCAGTCAGCAGAGTCAGTCGTGTGCTTACTTGTATAAATAATTGGACCCTTGCGTATCATCATATTTGACAAGTTGGACTTGGACATTGTTTTTGAGCAAATACAACTTCATACTTCATACACAATTGAACACTTCTGACTCGAAATCATTGTAAAAACACGAGTGCTTTACGTTAAGTTTGATGGCCAGCTTAAAATTTCTGGAAACTTTAACTGAATTGAATAACTAATTTATTATTTGACTGTTCTTCTCCCCACCAAAAAAAAAGTCAGTCCGTCAAAAGTATTAATAGAGTTCTCATTATTTAATGTTTAACGCAGCGTGAGTAAAGAAATTTATCATCGTCGTCGTCACTCTTTATTTCCAGACTTACAATTTATCCGCTATATTTTAACATTTACCAAGATTACTACAACTCTTCCCAACAAGCAGCTCCTACCCAAAAGGAGACAAGAAGAATAAGAAGATCAGTGTAAATTACACTGTGTAATACATATTATTTGTACGAACAAACACGTCACATTATTCGATGAAGCTTTTAATCATCAGTTCAATTCTAACATTCTAACTGCTTGAAGAACGTCTTGGAAATTTAGCATTGCTGTGACATCAGCATTCCTCCACCAAACTTGCTGTTCTCTCCTCTCGACTGGTGAGTTTAAGTCTACGATTTTTAATTACCCGTGTCAAAAAATGAAATTGATTAGAAAAGATAGCAAAATATACATAATATTGTTGTACCCATGCACATATTGTTACGACCTCTGGTCTGACTAAAATAATAAAAAAGTAACAAGGCCGGCCTCCACTTTGAAAAGTATGTACGCGTTGTTAAGAAGGGTGTGCCCAGATCCGGTGGGTGTTTCATACATTGTAGATCGTAGCGTAGATTTTGACTTTGATATCAGCCTTTCCCATCTCCCCGTCAAATTGCATTGCATTCAGGGTATGAAATAGTACGCAGTTAATATTTCTTCTCTCACCCTCCTCCCATTCGGAATGTGCATAAGCCCGTCGAAATCCATTTTTTCTGTAGGCACAACGCTGTAGTAAGACTTTGAACCGAATTGAATTCGTAATTCTTCCCCTTCATTCAAATTACTTGGGTATTTAAACAGATTGTGCATACAAAATAATACTTTGCCATATTAGTGCACTCGAGCAGAGTTTATTATTGGGAAGCAAATCGACAGTAGTAAATTCTCCATTCTTAGATGCAGGCATAATAATGAAACAAACGCCCATAATAATAAATAATAGTAATAATTTTAATAGCATAGTACAAAAACATGGCTGAATGAATAAGGTGCAACCAGAGAGGGTGCTTAACAAAGTGTAAAATAATAGCTAGATACATACAAATTAAGAATGGAAGACTTTGAGTTTGCATTGATAATTTGCAGCCAGAAATTCCTCTCGTTTTCTCACCATTTATTTCATAAAGTATTATTTGGGACGAAATTCGTCCAACATCCACCAATTCCAAGTTAAGTAAAGTCCAGTTCAATATAGGCAAAGCAGATACTTGTTAAGCATATGCCATCAGACAGGGCAAAAGTGCAGAGTGGTGTGTGTACATTCAAAAGCAAGGCTTAAACAAGGCGTTTAAACGTAGCATTACATGTCCATTCAGTTTGTTGGTTGGTTTTGGTTGGAGTACACAAAGAAAGAAGTTGGAATTGTACAACTTGTAGTAATAAAGTCTTATACCCCTTCGATCCACCAACTAGCAAACAACCTGGCTGGATTTGGATTGCTTTTCCATTCCAACCAACCAGTACTTAACGTCACTTTAGTTGTACAGAGATTGTGGGCATATGTATGCGCATAATCATATCCACGCTTTATTTCATCTTCTTCATGGTCCGCATTACATGGCGCACAATAATAATGTGTGGTGTTAAACTAGCTTTAAACCCATTCCATGCAGTAATGAATCAATGGGCCTCCTCAGACACACGAAAATATCGTCGCTTAGAATTTCGCTTCGTTTTTCGCTTACTTCATGATAAGCGAGCTCTCGGATAAGCGACCAAAAACTCCACTCAGAAGTGGGGTTAAGGTCGGTTAGTTGAAGTCTCAACAAAATTTTGCAATTTTCATAATTTTGGCAATGCTATCGATAAGCGAAAAACAAAGCGAAATTCGAAGCGACGATTTTTTCGTGTGTCTGAGGAGGCCCAATATTAAAAGATGTACAAGCAACTAACTAGCTAACACGAGTCATATGCAGGAGAAGAAGCCTTTCTTGGGTCGTCATCATCATGTATCTGCTGCAGTTTTAGTTTGCATTTCGCTTCCGAATTAGGATTTTGTTATTTATTGCGCTAAACGTTTTGGCATCCACCAAGCACAAGAAACCCTTTGTCCATCCATCCATCCATCCATCCATCCATCCATCCATCCATCTAGCCACATTAAAAGCTATAAGGATTCATAAATACGGGTTATGGCTGCTTAAATAAAATGGCGAAGCGTGGTTACTCCTGCGGCCAAAGGAATAATTATATCGAGGGCATCTTCACAGACTTGTTAAGGACGGAAAATGATTGTTGAGTGAGTCATATCGTTATAGTAAATTTCGCTACGTTTCTCGTCGTACGCTGGCAATACTGTTAGTTGGTAGTAAGTAACTGGTCCAGGTTCTATTTACGATTCTAAAGTACAAGAATAACTATTGTGGGTAATTACAAACAGGTAGAAGGACTAAAAGAGTGAGGTATATGAGTACGAAATTGAAACCATCCTCCATTTATCTAACTAAGGTATCTCTCACTCGGTGTGTGAATGTTGTAGTAAATTCAGTCCACCAACTGTCATGAAGCACGTAGCAACAGCAGCAACGAACTTTTAGGTCTGACTAACTTCCGCTGCTGCTGCTTTTTTATTAAATCTACTTTTGACTACTTTTAAGTTGCTCACTAGCAGAGTTGCATATGCATATGTGGAAAGAGCTATTTAACCAGCTCCCACTTCGTCAGTTGACCTTTGCGTTTACCAATCTACGAAATAATAGACGGAATACGCGCATTGTTGAGCGCTAGCTTGGGACAACAAAAACAAAAACAGTAATGGTATCTGCATGAATATGAATATGAGTGGATGGATGGATGGCTGTGGAACATCATAAATAGGTACAAATCTCTGGCTAAAACATTATTCGCTCAGATTTGGGAGGTTTCCTTCCTCTGACAATAAAAATAAGTTGGAGCAGCAGCCAGTGAATAGAAACAATGAACAATTACATTTTCTAGCCATGCTGATGATGACGGTCTGGTGGTGTTGATAATGGAGAGGTATGTCTTGTCCGTACATATGCACATACCTGCACCTCTGCAGCGTCTCTTTTCTGAACGAGCGAGCAGGAAAGTGGGGAGAAAAGAATTATTCTATTATTTTTCATTGAAATTCAACAGCGGAATGTTGAACATGAGTGTAAAAATAATTTGCTAAACTGAAATTGGTGTGGACAGGATTTGAGTAAAAAAAAAGGTTCGTTCTTATGATGGTTACAAAGGATGTAAAATGTGTGCGCTTATTTAAAAGTAATTCCATTCTGTCAAACAATGATTTGAAACAATTGTAACGAGATTAGTACTAATTGAAGTAACTACTCGCTCCTGCAGATTTATGAATTAACGGGTAATTTTAAAGACGAAAGTGCACATGTGATGGATGATGATAATGACGGTTTGTTTTCTTACTACTTATGGTGTACATGTGTACGTCTGTAGTACATACAATTGTACTCGCTGGCGTGCTTAGTTAGCGAATCTTGTTGTGAATATAATGCTGGAGCATGTAATATAATAGTAGTTCGTACAACTAAATGTACGTACGAATTCCCACAGGCAATTTGTATTTCAAACGCCAGATTCCTCTTTTTGGATCGCAGATAGAAAGAGAGGACGTGGAGCAATTTTGTGCATTAGTTCACATACAGAGCAGCTAATTTGTGAAAATGTGAAATGACAATTTACTCGTAGATAATTTCCGTCCTTCCTTCGACTACACTTTTGAAATTGTATGTAAAACATGCATGCTACCGTGTCCCGTCGTATCACTATTATTACACTATGCTCATGTTGTTTTTGCTAAAAATATGTATATAACTGCGGGATTTGATTTGCGAATTTTCACAGTATAATTTTTCCTTCCGTTTTACCCGAGAAATTCTCAGGCTTTTTATTTAGCTCTGTCTAGTTTTGTTTTAGTTGTTGTTTGGCTGTGCGTGAGTCGAAATTATATCTCTCCTCTGCATCTTTAACAACCGGCAAAGAGCTCAAGACTCGAGAGCAAAATGGAATAATAACCTTTAATAATCCGCAATAATAAATAATTTCATGTTTTTCTTCGACGTTGAGATTTATGCTCCTCGAAAAAATCCATGTTTCACCATTGCTATTATGAATGATCGTCGTTTCTGCAATTCCTCTTACTCGTCGCTTATTAGCATGCTTTTCTGGCTGCAAGTATGACATGAGGAGGGAGATGTGTAGAAAGATTTGCATTTAATCTGCTCGAGTGCTGTGAGACAAATCTTTCAAACTTTTGTTTCATTTTCCAATCCAACACACAATTATTTTCAGACCAGCGGGATCACTCGGTGGTTTATCGCTGCGGTTTGGTTGCATGAGCCGTGGCCAAATTAGCGACATTAAATTGTATAAATTGCAAATTGTACATGTTAAGTGGATTCACAAGTTCGTTTACTCAGCTCACGTTGAAAGTTGTGCAATTTCCCCATGTTTTCGATTTGGACTTTATGGAGCTGACTTTTGTACATAATGTGTGCATATCTACGTATGAAGAAAGAGGGAAAGATTACCAAGCAAGCAGTGCACTTATACAGCGTTCATTACATTGGATAAATGTGGATGGATGGATGGGAGATTAGGTTTTGTGCTGAATTTGTTCAACACTGACTTGAGAGAAGTCGCAGCATTATTTTATTTGCCATTTCGCTTGAATATCTCTCGTGTGTGGATAAAATGTGGTGGCTTCAGAATAATATTCTCTCCTCCGGTACATTAGCAGCAACATTTATCTGTGTTCCTTGTTTGTTGGTGACTCAGAAAGTAAGCAATATAATGTTGTGGGTGTATGTCCACCTAAACGTCTATGTAATCATTATGTTTATGTATCTGATGATATTTATTCTCATTGCATTGCTCACTTTCTCGTTCCAATAAAGCCTTACTTTTAATGTGCATAAATCCTGCTTATTATTTCGATATATCACTCCCTCATCCTCTTATCTACATAATACGCCATACGTATATCCAACGCCACTACAATAAATCGGGTGCACATATGTATAAACTTGCAGTATTGTTTGGCTGGTATATACTACATAAAATTACTAGAGGTTGTAACAATGCAGAATTGCATTAAATTTTAACCACTATCAAATCAACCACATGCATGAACTTGGTGTTATGAAGCCATTCCATTTCATACTATTTGCAGTCCTCGTATTTTTGTGTAAAATGTTTTCGTCAATCTTGGCCGGTATACATATGTATTGTGACATTTATTATTCAAGTTGTAAAAAATAGGAGCACGTTTTATTAGCAAGAGCAGAAAAGCAGAGGCTTTTTACAAGGAAATTAGTTATCTGATTTCCAGATAATGCTAGTGTGTTGACTTTATATCACGGAAACCACTAACGTACAAACGTATAAAGAGCTTGTTGGGGGGATATATATGAATTTTTTACTCATAGCATATGCCTATAAATTTTTAAAAATTTATAGGCATATGCTATGAGCCAAAAAAAAATTAGACAATAATAAGTTTAAACTTATTATTGTCTAAATTTTGTCAATTTTAAGTTTCTGCATACTCGCAATCGAGCCGATTTTAATTAGCGTAATGGAGTTTTGAGGGAAAAGTGGAGTGAATGAGAGGAGAAGAGAAAGTAGTTTTGTATTGAGCAATCCATACTTGTGAAGACCTAGAAAAGCTGTTACATAACATTGATCATTATTTATATACCTGCCACTGCCAGGATCGTAGACTTTCATAACAGTCTGCGAATTTCCGAGCTTTCCAAAGCAGCAGAATTGACAACAAATTAATACGCGTATTGGACCAATTTGATTTGTACTTTCTCCCTCAACGAGCAGTTTCTCATTTTTTGTCACAGGTCACTGCTTGAGGTAATTCCAGACATGCACGCAGCAGGAGCGGGAGACAAAGCAGCAGAGATATGAGCAACGTAAATACGTAAAGTGGGAGACAGTACAGTCCCGATGACCGCTCGTCCCGTCAAGTAAATTGCTCGATAAAATCCTCAAAATCGGGAATCGAGGGACGTGTAAGAAGACAAGCAGCACAAATCATACACACATAAAAAATCTGTTCCTTGGTGCATTTCAACATTGGGACTGGTAACTCATGGGACGTCGAAAAGCAACAACTACGGACACGACTCATAATGGTACGCATAATTTTTCTATTTGCTTTATTCCCATGAATAAAACATGCCATTTCAATTCTGCTCCTCCGACTCTGATTTGTATGCGACTACTCTTGTACGAGTCATTATTCTGAGCTTGCTATTTGATTTGATTACGTTGATTAATTCCAGCTCGCGACACGGAAGTTGAAACCCGTCGAGGGAGAGGTCGTGGGGGTGGTGGTCGTGGAGTCCAACGAAGAGGCGGAAGTATTGGAACTCGTGGTGGAGGACGACGACAAAGTCCAACGACGACGACTCCACCCCTCGCAGAGAACAAAGCGAGTCACACCACCACCATGACTGCCGACGTGGGAGCAGAACAGACGCCAAATGTGAACGTGGTCGGTGGTGCCGTCGGAGGAGGAGGATCAGCTCATGGCAAGACATTGAGGACGACAGAAGGGACGACAAATTCTGCATGTGATAAGGATGAGGTATTCCACTCATTTTCCTCTCAAAGAATTTGCTGGGTATGGTATATACATATTCTTCCATCCAGCCAGATGTGTAATAATAATTTTACCAGGCATATTATGCGTTCATTAGAACATCGTCTACTATTTATTACCAGAGGAGGCAGAGAGAGAGAGAAGTCGTTGTTCCGCTATATTAACTCTGACAGTAGTTGTTGACAAAGTAAATGCACAAAATGTTGCTTGGAGTTGTATTTCCCTGTCTGGCGTGTAAGAAAAGAAGACTTATCACAAATTCTTCTTCTCCTTCTTCTTCTTCTTGGTGGATGAGAGAGATCTAGCGGAGTTGAAGCTCTCGGATCCGAGGCGTCTCTCAGACACACAAGTTTGTCCAGGCAGCATGATGCATGGGGCGAGTGAAGCACATTCCTGAAATTTTATTCTCGGATTAAGATTGATTGCGACTTATCTTCTGCCTTTCACAGTTGCCCTGTTGCTGCTCAAGTTGCACATGTTGGGCGAAATAGCGAAAAGATTTAAATGATTAGTAGACATTCAAATGTCATTGTGTATTGTGCAAACTTTACTCCAAGGTTGGTGGATCTACTACCTACATTTTACTCTCGCAACGCTAACCACTGCTAAATATACGGTGGTAGTCAAGTGATAGATGTGTTATTATTTTATCCATGCTGCATGTACTTGCCGTCTATTAACTGCGAACGTAGACTCGTTGGCACGAAAGAAGAAGTCACAGCGTTGTTGGTCACAGCAAGAACACGAACCACATCATCAGAAACAACCAACATGTGTGCATGGTGCTCATATTTTACTCGAATTTCTTTAATACTGCCAATAATAATCTGATCCGCCGAGTACATGTCACTAAATAAGTTGCCTCTCTACACTCTAGTTCTCTCTTCTTGCATCTCATACTTTTTTTAGTCATCATCGTCGCCGTAAAAAAATCACCAATTTGTTTTACGTTTCCTTCATTTCCTTTTTTCTTCTTGCACAGATGAGCCAGCAATCAACAAGTGGTGCAAGTGGTAATAATTCTGGAGCAAACAAGTCGAGGACGAATGACACTAATAAAATTGTAAGTTGGATTATTATGCATACATGGTTAATTCACGTATGTAGTTATAAAATTGTGTGCCAAAGTTCAGGACTTCATTATCTCTCCTTCTTATGTATTATGTTTATGCACTTAAAACAGGACTCTCCCGATAAGGATGGTCCAGAAGTTGTCCACAAATCAGTGTCATCCAACGAGTCTTTCAAGCTTCGGCTTCCAAAGAAAAGAAAATTTGATTTGTCCGATTTTGAAACTCCGTCATTGCCAGAATGCAACAAAATTACGGTCACCTCCACCCCTGAGAAGCCAGACATTGCCACCCCACATAATTTTAATTCCCAATCCCACTTGAACTCGTCATCAGTCTCCTTCTACGATAACCAGACAACTGCTGCTGCTGGTGTGGAAGTTCAGGATGGCAGCAATACTGGTGCTCCTACTTCAGCAATAATAATGCCATCAGACTCGATCATTAACAATCCGAACGGCAACAGTGTATCGGGTCATCATCATCATCACCATCATCATCAGCGAAATCATGACAATCGACATTCACCACCACAACCCTCGTTTCAAACTTCCTCCACCGTTCCGACGATTCATCCGGCCGATATGCGAAACATATTACCTCAACAGCAGCAACAGCAACATCATCACAGTCACAGTTCGTCTATGCATAGTATTCAAAATATGTCCAGCATACAACAGCACACCTCCCATTCAAATTCACACATTGTTTCCTCACCGAGTCGCCACCCTTCCCACACGCTAAGCATACCTGAATTACAAGGTCTGGCATCCAAAGCTCTAATTAACCCACAACTGGACACCCATCTTGGCCAACTTACTCCTACAACCGTTGGAGGAGGAGGAGGAACGATGTTAAAGCCTGGAGGAAATTACTCGCCTTCCGTTCAGCCTTCATCAGAGTCGTCTTCTAATAATAAAGCCGTTGTATATGGTGCGTATGGCTCCAACCCAAACAGGGGAAATGTCCACATGTCCCCAATTTATTCCAATACCGGAAGCAGCCGAGATGCATCTCCCTTATCATCTTCGTACTCAATTAACCAACAACAACACCAATATCCATCATCTTCCCAGTCCGAGCAACCCATGGATTTGGGATGCAGATCAACAAACCAGCAAGCGGCTCACCTAGGTCACTCCTCTGAACCTTTATACAGTACAAGCATGACGCACATGACCCAACACCAACAGCAGACGACTATTGTTAACTATACAAGCAGATCGCCATCCCCGTCTTACAGAATTCAGCACCAGCATCAAAATCATAATAAACCTAGCGGTAGTGACCCTTCTTCTCAATCAGCGCATAATAGATCCACCCAGTCCTCGGTCAACACTTCTCAATCTTCTCATCACCAACAGCAGTATCCGGCATCATACCGGGGAATAGTCCAATCGTCAAAGGTACAGATTGCTACTATAAATTCCATTGTCTCATTACGTACTTGGTGTGAACTAATCAGTGTAAATTATGAATCACAAAGCAGGTCTCATCCATGCATCCCTATAGAATGGGTGCAACTTCAGAACACGAAGGACTGAACTTGGTCGTAGAACGGACAAAGTCACCCACGGAGTACTCATCCGTCTATTCCCAATCTTCTTTGCCGAGTGCAGCAACTCAATCAAACCCAATTTCAATATCAACCACTCCTGCAGAAGTGACGTTTGCAAAAATTGCTCCACTTCTGAGTCAAGGGATGATGCAACAACAACAACATCATCAGTCACATTCTCATCCTGTCGTCGTGGGGTCCAGTCAACAATCTCATGTTGGTAGCGGGAGGCTATTGATGGCAGCTCCGTCTCATCATCAGCAGCACAAGGAACAAGGTCACGATGCACTTACCAGATCTTCTCCTGCTGCTCCTCCAGCTCATCATCAACCCTCCTCAGTCATTTCTGGTCCTGGCTCAGATAGGGTAACAATCGAGATCCGTGACAACAGAGATTTTCGAACATTGTCCAGGTCCAATTCTGTGGATGTTTCTCGAGAAGATGTAATTACAACGGAAGTTCGAGGAGATGAAGCCCAGTCGTTGCCCATCTCTGCGTATGCACCAAAATATGAGTTCCAGACAGTTTTACAGGTATGCACAGTTCAATTTAATGAAGAACTGATTATTCATATTACTTAAGTATGTACATGAATAAATCTGTCACTGCTTTGTTGTAGACTTCAAAGTTGGAAGAACCAAAATCTAGCGAGCATTCCTGGAGAGACGGTGGAAATAATACTATCACCAACAATAATAATAAGAACGAGAGCAATGTCCAAAGAGCTGACATCAAGCCGCCCACGGTGGTCAACCCTCCCCCATTGGACCTTCGAGAGTGGAAAGGTAGCATTTCATTGTTTTTATTTTCATATTTAATTGTAATATTTAAGACAAGACTTCAAATTAATTTTGTTCGTTTCCGTCTAATCAGACGGAAACGAACAAAATTAATTTGAAAGAATTAAAAACATCATAAATTAAATTTCCTTCAGGTCATCGAGTTCTGGCCAAGCGAGCAAACTTTTATATGCCAGGTGTCATCACTGGTGTCAGCGGTAAGATTAGCTTGATAATCTTGTATTCCAGTGTTTAAAATAACAGATCTCCTAATCAGCCAATCATTTTTTTTTGTTTTAGGTCATTCAACGATTACCGTTCTCTTTGACAGAGACAACGAAAGCATGTCTTACACGGACGTCATACTTTCCAGAACTTCTTTCTATGATATCGTATCAGACGCCAGTCCAGCTCCTGCTCAGGTAATTATTTCCATAATTTCAGGTAATACTGCTGTACTATGTACTTACTTTTCGAAAAACAATTGTAGGTGACAGTGGGGTGTCAGGTTTGTGTTAGAACCAGCACCGACAGCAGTTTATTTGTTGAAGGAGCAGTATCTCGCATAAGTGGATGGCCCCCTCAGGTATTATATAGAATATGTTGATATGCATCAGGTTTAGAAAAAATCCTTTCTTCATTGTTTCCTTAATTTTCTTCATTTTAGTACGTGGTTCACGTGGCTTTGGAGAACAAGGATTACACGGTGGCAAGGCCGAATTTGCGCCTCATGCTGCCACCATGGTGGGATGAACTCAAAGCTATAGAATCGATTTATGCTCTACCACACAATCCACCACCACAAGTGTCTGACAATCGGGAATCTGCTCATGGTGGAGGTGTTGTCGTGGTTGGGACATCGTCGTCGTCGTCCTCGTCACGGCAGCAATCAAATGGCCCGTCACCTATTTCCAACTCCAACCACAGTTGTAGTGACGATAGAAAACGCCAAACGGAGTACGAGTTCTGCGAAAGTGACGACGACTTGCACCGTGAAGATATTCATTTCAATGAGGTCGGAGCAACGATTGGGGGTCGTGGAGGATGCGGTTCTTTGACTCCAGGCACTCAACTGGGCAGCAGCAAATGTTCTAGTGTTCAGAGCCATGTCAGTTCTGGCAGTTTGATTGGAGAACGAGGAACTCCACGAAGTCAGGCAACTACTCCAAGATCACAGAATGGGACACCTCAAAGTCACAAGTACAAGAAAGGAGACGTTGTGTCTACACCTACCGGAATTCGCAAGAAATTTAATGGGAAGCAATGGAGGCGACTTTGTTCTCGAGAAAGCTGTACCAAAGAATCGCAAAGAAGAGGCTACTGCTCAAGGCATTTAGGAATGAAAGGAAAACCAGGGTCACACCATACCAGCTCTTCATCGTCTTTGAGGTACTTGTTAGCTATTACTTTTATCCATATGTACATACGCAATTCAACTATATCGACCATTGTTGAAAGATCAACAGCGGTTAATATGCAAATTGAGTAATTATTCTGATTTTGTTTTTGCTTCTTGTAAATCAGATCTAAATCCAAAGAGAGCGAGGCTGACGAAGCGAGCTCGAGGGACTCTGGAACATCTCCGAGCAGCTTAAGAGATGTACGTTACGCCGGACGCTTTGATGCGGATGAAACCGAGGCAGCTACAATGTTGGTCTCCTTGTCCCGGTCCACCTCCCCGTCCTTCTCACCTCCCTCATCTCAGAAAAGTGGGTGCAACTCCCCACGAGTTCTACAGTCACCATTAACCGTTGGATCGAGACACAACCTTTTCATGCCAATTGCAGGAGCAAATATGTCTCCAGTCCCACACACGTCACCTCCATCCTGGCAGAACAAACCGGCTGTTGAAGCAATTGTCTCCATCAGCAGTCTGGTCACCTCTGATCGGTCTCAGTCCGTTATTCGACCCGAAATTGTTCGTCCCAAGTTGAGTGTCATTCAAATGAGTCCACTCGTATCCTCTGCGACGTCGACCACTTGTTCTGCTCCAAGTTATGTGGTTCACGCCACCAGTGGATTGAAAACTTCAACAATAGAAAATCAATCTGCTGGTTCACGAGGGGGCACATTCATCACGCCAAACAACAGTAGCAACAACAGCAGCAACGCACATCACCACATTGGGATTGTGATTGCCAACAGTGCTAACATTAATCACGTCGTCACTTCTGACTCTGGAAATACTTCGTCAGTAATAAAAGAAATCAAGCAAGAAAATTCTTCTGGGGACGTTCACGAAGGAAATAGCGGAGTTCGTGGTGGTGGTGGTGGGATGATCACTCCACTAGCTCCACCCCCTCTGACCCTGATGAAAGGTCCCATGACACTTACTCCACTCGTGATGCAAAACACTCACCCGAATTCCAAGGGACATCAAGTGCAAATAAGCCCAATGTCCAGGTACCAAGTAATACCTCTCACAACAATGTCAACTTCCAATTCGGGGACACAGATTGTGCTAGCTCATCCAATTTCTACAATGGGACAACATACGACTTACCAACAAACTCGTCAAATTATTACGACTACCAGCAGCGGTGGTGGTGGTGGTGGCGGCATGGCACCGACGACAAGTGGTGGTGGGCAGACTCCAACCACCACTGTTGTAATGACGGGTGTGCCCGGGAGTACTCCCATCACCTTTAAAAAGACCATTGTCCCAGTGCTAACTCATAGGAATGAAGTCTTGTCTATTGAAAATAGTCACCAACACTCCAACACTGCAGAAGACAAGTCGGATGGGACTGATTTGAAAAGCAAAGCTACAGAGATGACCAGTAAGCAGCATGTGCCAAACGGTGGAGTCAGCTTTAATGGGATCCCTATCATCAATCCCTCATCTCCCCCTCAGTTGATAATTCCCGAACATTCGTCCATGGAAGACGGAGGGGGCATGGTCATGGTTCGACCCAAACTGGATTCTCTACAAACTAATTTCATTCACTTGGTGGATGGCCGCAAGGGAGCGATCGTGAGCAGCAACACGTCGGGCAGTCACACAAATACCATTGTCATCACCACGTCTGGAAATCATCTCCAACCTACTCAACTGCTCCCCGTCATTCCTGCCGTGACCGCATCCGATGGTGGGCAAAACATAGGAAATGAATCCGAAAGCAATCCAAAAGTGTATCCTTGGCAAGCTCTGTTGCCCTTTCTGACAGTAAGTTCTTACTACAGTACATATATTGTTTGCAATATGACAGTACTTATGCATTGGCATTGGTAACAATAAATAATGACAATTTTAGCCGACACCCTCACCGCCCCAGCAGCACTGTTCCAATGGAACCCCAGAATCTCCGTCGTCCAAGGATGGATCTACATCCACCTTGATTCTACCGTCCCATGATCCAGACTTGGGGTTGCCTGACATTGGCGATGACGACGACGACGTTTTTGTAGTAGGAGTGTCGGAAGAAATGACAAAATTGAATGGGGCTAATAAACGACGAGCATTGAGTCTGCCTGCTTCAAAGCATGACGATTGCAAGGAACCGGAAAGGGTACGAAGACCAATGAATGCCTTCATGATCTTCAGCAAGCGTCATCGCGCCCTTGTCCATCAGCGACATCCAAATCAAGACAATAGAACCGTGTCCAAAATTCTTGGAGAATGGGTAAGCATTAAATTATGGAAAAGTTGCTTAAATAACAAGCATATACTTAAATCACATGTTCCTGTATGACAGTGGTACCAGCTGGGACCTGATGAAAAGCAGAAATATCACGCCCTTGCGTCGGAAGTGAAGGAGGCCCACTTCAAAGCAAATCCAGGTTGGAAATGGTGCAGCCGGGACAGGAGAAAGTCCTCCAGCGGCACTGGCCCACCAGGCTTGGATATTGGCAAGAAAGGAAGATCCAGTTCCACTGAGGATGGTCCATTTGGAGCACGACCCCCCGGCGTTGCAGAAGTCCCTGGCAGTAGTTCCGTAGAGTCCGGAATAGGAAGTGGAACCACGGGTGGAGAGGTGCATAAAAGTAGTGATTTTTCAGACGAAGAAGATCGAATGGTAAAATATCAAATTTCATCACATCATCATTTTATTCCACACTTAATTTTGCACTTCGTGTTTGCAGGTAATTTGTGACGATATTGATCTTGTCTGTAAGGAAAAGGTGTTGGAGGTAAGGGCACTATGTAATAACACATTGATTTGAAAATTGGGTGAACGGTATTTACCTCCACCAGGCCCAAAGTAGTCTGTTCAAATCATTATATATTATTATTTTCTTGTTTTGTCAAAATCTTGAATAACGTAAAAATATTATATTTACCTGCTAGGATTGTGAATCTGACTTTGAATCCGAGAAGGCTCATCCAACTCCAGCAGCTTCTAAACCAAACACCCATTTTAAATCACAAATTGGACCGTCTACTTCAACTTCCATCATTTTGACAAATTCTACTCCAATATCAATTGTCACACCTACCAACACCATCAACAAGCCAAAACCAATTAGACTTCCTTCCGATCCCACGCCTGTTAGTGGTCAATGGTCATCCATTTCTCCATCCGTTCCAAAGTTAGTATTTCAACCTACCGGTAGTGCATTCCGATCTATGCCGAGCCCAAAAGAGCCTCTGAAGGTACGTTTGATATAATGACCGTATTTTACAACAATTTTTTCATAGGAATAATTGATTGGAATTGATTAATAAATGAATAAATGCAACCATTTTTGTTTGTCAATTGTTTAGGGTCCCGATGGAGACGATAAACCGACCAAAAGTCCGGCTCCCGGTCCAACGCATCTCGTCACATTCACGTCGTCCGCTGGTGCACCCACCCAGACACTTTTAGTTCGACCAACATTTACTATTGGAAGTAACAATAAGACAGCTTACCTGACTTTACTCAAGCCGGTTGAAACTTCCCCGTCTACAACTGTTCCTACAATCGTGTCCCAGGATAAAATAACTATTCCGAGTATCTCAGTGACTGAACCTATCACTGTTAGCCAGGTATGCAGGAAATGTTTTCGCTTAAATCCATGAATGTTTATTTTGGTCCCTAGAGATGCAATTTTAAAAAATTTCATAATCAAATCTGGATGAATGTAGGGATCTGGAGGAACCGAGGCCAAACCGTTGTTCGTATTAGCTCCAACACCAGCACAACTAGGAAAAGCACCACTACAGCGGCGTCAGTCACAAAGCAGTTTGACACTATCAATGTCCTCTGCTAGCGAACTGATGGATGTTGACATAAAGCAAGAAAGCTCAGAAGATGTGACACGGGGTGATGCTATGGAAGAAGAAGACAACCCCCCTGCAAAATCAGAACATGAAACTGTACAGATTACAATAGAACATGTAGAACCAGAAATGAATCCTTCTACTCCTTGTACACAAGAGACGGAAAAACATGAGAATGAAGAATGTCATGAGACGTCTATCTTAAAACCTTTCTTTAAGAAAAACGTTGAAGATGGGATGGAAAAGTATGTTATCCAACAGTAATACTGTCGCACTATTAAATCGGTATATTTAATGCCAATTTTTTTACAGAGTTTTGGAGCAAGTTCATTTCTCGCAAAAGTTCTCCAGTCTCCCCCAATTCAAGCCGGATGATTGTCAGTCTCCAAATACTCTTTCTTTGCCCTCTAGTCCTAGAGTTATACTCAACAGCTTTAGGAGGTGAGTATCTTGTCAATCAGTACAATTCAGCAACACTTTCAAAAACCAAGGGGGTTGTGTCGTAGATTAGTAACATAATGTGCATACAACGGCTGAAATTGATTACGTATCATATAATTTGCCGAATCGGAATCCTCCATACTTGAATGATGGCGCATCAGGTTGCATCAAGTGCAGTCCAAGAATGACGTAAAATAATGTGACACGCCTAAAAAACTTTTCTATTTTTATCCCGTAATAATAACAAAGGCGAAAAAGACGTAATGGTTCAGAGATGCAAAATGTATGAGTAGAAGCTCTAGAATACCGTAATATATATTTTATACGGTGCGATAGTTTCAGTGACACTAACCAAATATATTTATTTCATATAATTGAAATATTATTTACTTATTGGCAGTTGCTTTAATTTCAACGTATAATAATGCTAATAAAAACAGAATAACAAATAGTATACAAATTATACTTTTTGTAACTGTTAGGTTAAGTTACTTTTTATTTGTTCAAATTGGTTACACATCATATTACAGAGATTGACTAGCATTGGTTACATATCACAGAGATTGACTAGCATTGGTTACATATTACAGATATTGACTAGCATTGGTTACATTTACATATGTTGAATGATATGTCAGGTAATTTCATCCGTCTCATAGTTGATATATAAAAGTAACGACAAGGACAATTCATTAAAATCTAATATTTAGTAAAGTTCATAGTCAATTAAAAATGTAACATCAGTTAAAATTCATAAATAAAATCAAACTAAAAGCAGAAAATCGGAACAAAATTAGTAAAACTTATTCAGGGCGCCAGAATGGGTCAAGGGATCATAAACAAAATTGCCACATACATATTTATACATTTCCTCGCATCTCAACATGCTTACTCTCGTGGGAAAGTTACCTTCAATAATTGTGTATCGTCGGTCGTTGGGGTTATGCACAAAATTGAAATGCACGAAAGGGTCTTGTAAAAAATTGTCGTGGTCCGCCTCGTCTCCGTTAAGTCTTCGGATGATGGTCGAGATCAGTGTGTGGCGGGGGTAAGATATTTGCATCTGTTGGTCACAAGGTTTCTGAGGATGGGTGGAACATCGTTTATGAAAATTTGTGTCCTTAACGAAAAAATATTCAAATGTTAAATTCAATCCACATAAATAATTCAATTCAAATTAAACTTATTTGGAAACTTACGTTATGACTCGACCCCACATAAGTGCTCCATATCCCTGACGCTACACAAGCGGCACAGTGTATGAGGTATACGTTATTGTTGGAGGAGCAGAGATATCTTTTCCTTACTTCGAGGCGTTGATGTGGCAAGGGTCCCCACTGTGTGGAATTTGGTGATTGAGAGATACACGGGCCCGTTACTGTACAATTCGAGTGGCGACATCGAAAGGTTCCAGGACCATAAAATCCACGAGCAGCGTTCAGGTTGACCTCGAGTATCAGTTCTGTACATAATAATAATGAAATAAAACATTAAACAGGCATGTCATACATAACAAATTATTATTTTTTAATATTTAACTTACCAGGAACTGATTTTCTTTTCGTATCCATCTCCCGTATTACTCTCAATGAACGTTGTCGGTAACTATTGTCAAATGGGATGAGTGGGATGGCAGTTTTCGTAATTATCAGGTTCGACCCAGAACTTCTAACGTCGATCTTTTTGACATCCTCCATTAAAAGAGAACTGAGAAGATCTCTTTTCATTGTTCCAGTGCAAACAATAATAAATTGTTGGTCATTCCCCGTCAACCCGTTAATTAATCGCTGATCAGTAATACCATTAGGTACAAATCTCTCCCATGCTAAATCAATACAATTTCAAGCAATAAATATAAAAACAAATTTTGATTTATCATTTTTGAACAATTCAAAATTATACTTACGTCGTAAAAGGCTCTCAAACACAGGTAATCCGTTACTTTGCCATTGCCAAATGTTGTCCAGTTCTGGAATATGTGGGGGAGGAATTATTTGGAAACCAAATCTAGTGTAATCAGTCAACTGTTGGATTATTTGTTGCTGGTTAGCCATTTTTTAGAGTTGAAGGAGGAGTAGGAGCACGAGTGAAGGGCACAATGTCTCGCTTCGAAGGGCAAGCAGGGAATGGTGAAGAAATGCATGCATTTACTCATAAAGTAGCGTTTGTTCTTATCTTATTCTATCGGGTGGCGTGGGTACGCCACGAAATAACGAAAACGCTTCATGATAATGAATCCGTAAATAGCAAAGTGGTGGTATAAATCTTATATATTAAGAGTTGTTGCGGCTCCATGCCGTACCATGCACATATTACATATATGAAATTATTTACTTGGCAAAATTTTAATTTTTAATTTTACTATTATTTATTTTTAAGGACGGACAGCTCATTTAGGAAGAAAAGGATGCCTTCCGGTAAAAACATTTATATTGTCATACATACGTATTTACCTACTTGATGCATGGTTAAAAAATTAACATTGCTGTGTAATTGAATGTTGCAGCGAATGATGGAGAGCTTTACCAACAACAAATGACGGGCTCTGAGCACATGTCGCATGTAGACTGTGCCTCAGCTCCTGTAAAACTTACTGGGTCTACATTTTTTGGTCCAGACTTTAACTTGGAAGCATTTAAACGTAAGTCTGAAAAATACTACTATGTGCAAATATGATATTTCATCTATATTTAATTAATTTAGATGACAATCCTGGAGGAGTTTCTTCCAAGACAACTTTGACAAAACCTGGTACGAGCGATGATTACAATATACCCTCATCGCCAATGATGTCAGGTCCATGTCCTGGCCCCCTAAGCGCTAGTTTCTCTTCTTTGAGGTCACCAAGGACTCCGAAAACTCCTGCGAGTCTTAACAGAAGTCTGGATTGTGGAATGGAAAAAGGTCATAGAAAGGTAACTAATTTTCCTAGTAAATATATTTTATCTTGCGTGGTTTGAAATATAATTTACAAAGTAATATAATGTAAAATTTGTTCAGGTGCTAGAACAAAGAAGGCAACTCGTCGTTCAATTATTTGAGGTAAGAAGATTTTTTTTCAAATTGTATACATACATACTTATAAAGAATGGGTGGACTGCGCCAGAAAATGAAAACAAAAACTCATGTTTCATAGTCATTAATATTAAATGAGTCTTATTGTAGTAATGTAGTAATTATAACAATTTATTTTACAACTATCATAAATCTGAATAATAAAAATATTTTAATTCTGCTTTTCTAGGAGAATGGAACCTTATTCCCCACCACACAAGCCACGTCATCCTTTCAGGTAAGAATTCACGGTTAAATACATGCCCTAAAAGTACACAAGTGCATAATTTTTATATAAATCTAGACCCAGCACGCGAATGTATTTCCAAACAAAGCTTGTCTACAACTTAAGATTCGTGAAGTGAGGCAGAAACTCATGTCAACTAATCAATCAGGGCATTTGGGGTCGGCAAATCAAAGCCCCGTCACCCCAAGCGCCACACAAGAATCTACAGGAATTTTTGACCTTCCTTTGACTCCTGCCACTCCAGTTGACGCTGAAATGCCCTCTTCATCTACACAGCTACATCATCCTCCTCCAAATTGTCCCACGTCAGCACCTACGACACAAGAATCCTCTTAAAATATTTATTATATACGTGTTAAGAAACCTATGTAAGAGTCTAATACGAATTGGTTGTCGACTGACAAGTCCAACCAAACCAATCACATACAATAAGTTACCCGGTGTATTGAAAATGATGATAAGCAGTGTTGACTATGTGACTCGTGTTGTTGACTTGTTATTCTGACACGCTCTTCACATAATATTACGCACTTAGCTATACACTCTTCCCGAATTGGATTGACCAGAATGCAAAGTCTTTTTTTAATTCTCAAATGTTGCATTCAAAAAGTACAAATGTTTTCGGTAAAAAAGAGGATGAAATGGAAATGTAAGATTGTACGTATAATCACAATACAAATGAAATGGAGCTGATGGATAGATCTCGATAAGAGCTATAGATTTCTCTAAATGTATTTTGATAAGAGCCAAACCCAAATAACGTATATATAAATATAGTATAAATATATTGTACTTAAAGGTCTTTTCGTCAGTGAACCTATTAACGCTTCACATATGATTTCGTATGATTGAGGACGGGAGGGAGGAGTGTTCTTCAATAGATAATTAATCTATGACGGGGCCGACAGGAATTTAGTTTACGTTTGTTTTTTGTATGTATACAAATATCTATTTCCAACAAATTAATAGAAGATTATGAGGACGAGTTGTATCTCTGATTCTTGCAAAAAATCAATTCCTGTATTATTCTGCATGATGAACAGTCTTTCTTAACTATTTCCTGATAGAAACATGGTATTCCGGAGAGAGTAGGCACGACGACACTATACGTTCTCTTCTATAACGCCATACAGCCTCCACCGTATGTAGCTCTAATGAAACTTGACTTGGAGAACATTATATTTTTAGGGTATTTTATAAAGTGCAATTTTATAAGGATGCCAAAGGATAATACAGAGTCGGATTAATTGTTGAAATTTGTGTAATGGTGGTAAAATGCAATTATTATTATATATTTATGGTGACGACTCCGTCAACGGACGACGATACGGTTTATAATAATTGTACATACGTAACGTATAGTAATATGTCTTTTACTATTGATAGCAATATAATCAAAAATAACAGCGTATTCTCTTGTACTCTTCACTATCCTTTCCAATGCAATACGTTCTACGAACCATTGCATTTTCCAGACGCTGATTTGGAACCAATCAGTAATGACAGCTTGTTGTTGTCATTGTTTTTTATAGTCGTCAGTCTCAAGTGGCATTTGTTAACTCATTAGTATCGTCAGCCTTCTTTATTGCCGTCGGAATCAAAGCCAGACTAATTAGAGGAGGTTATATATTTGTTCATCATGTGTACTGTTCTCTGCAAAAATTTGACTTTATGCAAATAAGTTGGTTAGAGTAGATTTTATTTAGCTCCAGAAACTAAATAGCGATAATTGATATGGTGGTAATAGCAGCTTTATTATTATAAAAATGTCTCTTCACTTCACATACTGCCCCTCAAAACTAATTGTGAACTGCGTAGGTATACATAGATCGTAAGGCATAAGGCTAACTTGGTAGAACTAACGCAATCAATACGGGACTCTGTATCTCTTTGATTACACAATGTGCTATAGCATGGATAAAAATATACTATTATTACAATTTTAAAACTGTAATGTGACTTAAACCTACAATCTCATATGTTTAAGTACAATTGCAAATACTTACGTTGTTTCTATTAATTACTTTACGGTTGGTTGTCCTCTCATGGAGTTTTCTGCTATGAAATATATTTATGCTGATTATATATGACCAGTGTGAAACATTACCAAATGTTGTCATACCCGGAATTAATTATTTTACATGTACTGTCAGTTCCTACCATTTTAATTGAGGTAGGAAATTCGGGCACAAATGTAAGTGAACTCTATATATTTAACTATATTATTCAATTGACAATGATCGAATGAAGCAATTTACTTTGTTTAATTGCAATTTGGAAATGAATAAACAGAAACATACTGCACAAGAAGTTGTATGCGCAACATTTTAATTATTTATTCTGCATTAACAGATTGCATAATAATATCATCCCCGTTGTAAGCATTCCAATGAATCTTTACTAATGCATTCCAGGAGGTTTTTGTAAGCGTTCGAATCTGGATTAAAATGAGTCAACAAATTAGCCCACAAAACATGCATTAAACCGAGAAGATACGAGATTGATAAGCTGGGAAAGCTGTAAATAAATCGTAAATCTAAACACGTCACACACTCCAGAGTCGTCGTCAGCTCCTTCCTGCTTCAAAGTATCATCATTAAATTGCGACAAATTCGCTGACTTGAGTGCGTGATGCTTTAATTTTATGGTTTCGTGTACTTTCCTGCTGCAACTGTCTGCTTGAGAAGCAAGATTCGCCGTAAAATCCAAAAAACAAGCCACAAGTACGATTTACGACTTTCTCGCATTCAAAATTCTTGTGTCGACTGCCAACACTAAACAAAGTGTAGCGCATGAAAATCATGGGCAACACACGATAAGTACCATACCATCGTATCCATCTGTGCTTATCTGTCTATAGTTGCGAGAGGTGAGTCAGAATTGAACTTGTAAAATTGACGTATTTTTGTGTTTTTCATCAAATGAGCGGAACTGTCGGATTAGGAGATGACAGCGAATAATTCGCACAGTGCGAGTCTACTTTCATGTCCGTGTCGGATTTTTCTGTGGGTGTTGAACTGACGACAAATCTCGTAAATTACACAGTTCCCTGCACTCCGCTCGTCTCAATTTCCTCGCGCAGGTTAAATGTAAAAACGTGTCGAATTTTTCAAAAACATGTCAAACAACTCGGCAACATAAATCTCGCCATCGCCAGCTTCAATTCCGAGTCGAGGTATTAAGGATGCAAATGATTGTGACATGTGCAAATCAGGATGGTGCGTCAATTCCTTGTCAAAAAATGGAGTAGGGAGGAAAAATGGAGGAAAAACGTCCATTCGAGATTGTACGTAATCAAAGGCGATTGGATTGATTATATTTTTGCTCTTATTAGTACAAACATCATCATAATAATACAGGTAATATCATAAATCTTGTGCAGTGTTGAGTTAGCTATTCAGACTACACCCCAACATTAATTTCCTTGCCGTATCTTGAGGGGTATTTATTTATTGAGAAGTTGAGATTTTCTACAAAGTGAAAATGACAACCTTATATTCAGTCACAAGAACATTCATCTCATCATCATTGAGTAAAAGATGATCATTTGGAGTGTGTGTATCTTTTGAAAAAAAATCCATCCGTTGGAGATGGCCACCCAAGAAGATGCGGAGAGATGGAACCGTTTAGATTTAGAATCTCGCTTATATCCTCGGAATTTGTTTGGTTTGAAGCACATTTAGGAGACGCTCAGTCAATTTATATGTACTTATGTACACAAGTAGGTGTATACGTATGTAGATGCAGACGATGTAGCATGAAGAAAGGCGTTGATCTTGTCTTAAATAAATCCTCTTAGCTTATCATGGACAGCGACAAATATCCAACGAATGGTCGATCGGTGTCCTACTTTGGGTTTTTAAAGATAAGAACTGTTGACGGGGACGTGGAGTCCAGTGGGACAAAATATATAAGCAGGGCTTACCCCAGATTTTCGAAATTATCTAAAATTTTGCCACTGCAAATCAATCATTATTTGAATTATTTCGAGAAATAAACTTTGCATTGTAGGTGGGTGAGACTCGAAAGAACCTGAAGAATATGAAAGACTTCATTTTTAAATACTCTCCCAATTAGCTTACAATTAGATTTATGGAACATTGCTTTTGTTGGATAATGATGGAGAAATCAAACGACTAGAAATTTATTCTCTTCGTTATTATGGGCCGTACGGTAGTTAATGGCCAATTATGTGACAATTCATGGGTCATTTAATGGTTTTATGGAGACGAAAGCCTTCATTTGTCCTGGAACAGTCTATGTACATACCTCATTTGGTACTATTTTCATGGACTCACAAATTACTATCCAAACTCGCAATCAGTCAGCTCATTTGTTGAACGACGTTAAAAACATTTTTGCCAGCAATACTTCCCAACACCTAAAAAAACTTGGATTTAAATGTACAAATCTTCCGACAAACTATAATTTGTACTTTTATTTTTCTGCGCATGAAATCTGAAAGTTCAACCAAATTGTTGAATCACGTTATCATAAACAATTATAATGATCACATTAATTCAGTGCCAACTAATAATTGCAGCATTTATTTTATGGTAAGGCTGTCACGAAATGATAAATTGCGTTTGGTGATCACTTCATGATTTGCATGGTCAACCTGGAGAGACAAATTGGGCTGACACGGACCACAAAAGGAGAGTGGACAATGCATTTACGAATAAGTGTACCTTTTATGGAATGAAGACATCTCCGAGTTAAATCTCTGTCATTGTTAAGACAAAGACGCTCATTTGTGACCACAGAATTAAGTGTTTAGTGATTTAGCTTTCGTGTGTAGGCTGGTTACTCATACAGATATTTACCTTTATCTATCCGGACTAAGGACCGAGAACGCAATGACATGTCTGTGATTACCACAAAAGAAAGAACTTCATTACTGCAAATGGTGGAGCAACATTCCTTTCGCACAAACGGATGGGAAAGACCAAGAAATGTGCCTTTTATTGATGGGCTATGCTAAAGTAGATTGAATTCCGGAAGATGTAAAAAAATACTATGAAAATCAAGGTGAATAAATAATTTATATGACTAGGTATACAATTAATTGATCAATAGAGTGATTTATTTTGTAGACACAATCATAAGCAGTTAGTCTGAATCGATCTTTGATAAAAAGACAATCTGGAAACTCTAGTGAGAAAAGTGAGCTCAGAAGGAGAGAAGAAAGATAGAGTGGTGGAAACATGGAGGAAAGAATAGCCCATATCAATACTCCATAGGAATAAAATGAAGACAAGCGATCGACCACTCCAGCTTATTATAAATAGATATTTTACTGTAAAAAGTGTGAAAACTGAGTAATAGTATTGAAATAAATAAAACGTTTTCAAAATAGTGAAATGATTTCCACAAAACTATATGAAATAATCCAGCAAATATCGAAATTAAACGTATTTAGAAGGAGCATAATGTCGGTTTTATCTGATTGCATGTCATGTAATGGAGAAGTATGACCTGCTCCAAGACACGAATGATTATTACAATTAGGTCCACTTACTTATGCCATGATTAGTCACCAACAGTGTTTCGTTATCCCTGCATAGTTAAGGAAACTGTGAATATCGTATGGGTTGCCTTAAACTTGCACTAATAATTCTATGGTCTGGTCTGTATGGTCATCCTCTATACATCCTTCTAGAATGGATGAAAGTCTTTTGTGCAATTTTATCTAAAACGGCATCGCAACGTTGCTTGTCGGTATTTTTTAGTGAGCAACTCATTCTTGGAATAATTTATGTGCAATTTGACATTATCTTTATTTCTTTGGAACCAGCAAATTGGTTAGAGCAGTGGAGGCATCCATATGCAAGGTAATGCGTAAGGGGGAGTTCGTAAGTGGAATTTGTATTTTTATGTAGAATGTCCTGCAGGTAAGGATGAAAAACTTAAATTTGCGTCTTAAATGCGTATGTATTTTTAATAAGTAATTAAGTCTTTAGTGCTCTGGGAGCGTGTACGTGTCAGAACTAAAAGCCAATCAGATCTGAGTCATGATGAGGCAACAAAGGAAGAGCTGATCGGAAAGTGCATAGATGTCCATCACACAATCAGAATGCTGCCAAATTCTTCTTGGAGCTCGATACCGTGTTGTATTGCGTCTTCAATTTACAATTGACAGACAATGACGTAAGCGAGCCACTAATTAATGGCCTGCGTCTTAATTAACTGCCAGCATCCATTAGGAAGCGATGGCTCCGTGCTGGCTGATTTTTTAAAGGAAATTGTTGAACAATAACTGGGAAACAAAGAATGGGATATTCTATCGGTAAAAATTTTAACCAGTTGCCTAAGGACGCATTTCCACACCTCTTGAGCTAATAGCACAGAGCAGCTAAAACGAGTGAAATTATGTGCTAAAAGCTTTTCAGAAAGGTGTCAGAAAAGTGGATGGTGATGCCAATGTGCTGCGATAAATGTACGTATTACATTACATACGTCTCGCTGCAAGTGTCAGGATGAATGATATTTGACAAATAGAGAGCTGGGTAAACGAGAAGCAATGCAAATTCAGACTTAAATCCAGTACTTGCATATCAACATTAGTCATATTCTTCACTGACCATACATATGTTAGCATGTGCGGTTGATTACAATTAAATCAGGTTTAAGCAGTTTTGTTTTTGCAAGTGTTGCAACTGCACATCTGCTCCATTTTTACGAAAATGTCCACTGGAAGACTTGGGTGACACTGGACACTTGGCTTGAATACACAACAAATGGAACTTCTTTCTTGTTCCTACTCAAACAAGGTTTACATTGTTTACTTTCTTAGGCACATGCCCCTTGTCCAAATACCAAACATACTGAATTTCATTCACTTCCGTTAGAAGACGGCCAATGAATCGAATCGGCCACCGGATATGATTTGAAATCTGGTGCATGCTGCATTTGAGCCTCATAACGAACTCTGCAGCGGCTTCTTTGTGCTTGCATAATAGCAACCAGACCAGCTCCAAGATGCATTTCGTATCACGAGAATTATGAACCCTCATACCAAGCAATCATTTCACTTTGTGCATACTTTGGAATTACGGAAACTGACAAGTGTGTGGAAAGTTTACGCAACTTAAAACGTTAATCCGAACGAATATCAAATGAGCATCAACACTTTTGCAATAAAACAAAACTTAAAGATCCACAAAAATTGTTTTTTAACAGCACGTTTCATACCCGTGAGCAGCCACTATGTTTTATGCACAGACATCTTAAACCCAACGTCTTGTTTCATTGCTTGGATTGGATTGGGTCTCATTCCTGGGCGCAGTGAACGCGTATTTATGTATGTGCTCGTACATGGTTTGTGTAGTGACGGCCTGGAGATAAATCTTACGGTGAAAGCCGTAATGCAATCGAAGTATTCTTCTTAACAGCAGACATGATAATCCGATCTAAACTTTCAAGATTTATTTGTTCTTCCAAATTCCCTTGTCGGCTTGGGCTTTAAGAAACACAACATGTCCAACTCTCGCAGACGCACGGCCCATTTCATCATCTTCTTCCAGAGGAAGTAACGGCATTAAGAAATTATAAATATTGTGCACGCGTCGCGTGTGGCTTTATTTATGTTGGACGAATAAATAATAAATGTCTCGGGCTCAAATGAGTTATAGATGAGTCGTTGGGCGGCGGTGGTGGTGTGGGTGCCAATTTTCGATAGTTTATGCTGCTAAAAACCCGTCATCATGCTACTCAATCAGCACAGTATCCGCATTTAGTTTTATGACCAACCATCCAAAATTGACAAGTGATGCCCGATGCTTAGTTGCACAGGGGCTCAAATATTTGGTGTTTAATATTTTCGCGTCAAAGATTTTCTGTCACAACATTGACGCCGTAAAGTGAACGACCGACGCTTCCACATGAATGCGAACGATGCATATTTTCTAGTCCAACAAATCACGGGCCGAATGTACACACACATATTTCTATTTTCTGGCTAGTAACAAGCCGTGTGTACATGAATGCATGCATATTTATGTATGCTCTGTAAGGCAGAGTGAAACATATTCGTTTGTAAGCAAGGACAATCATTCCATTTTAGTGCCTTTGAATTAGCTGTCATCATTATTAATGGATTTCTTGAGAAGACATGAAAAGAAATGGGCATCGGATCGTCGTACCCTTTATGCTCGGGTAATACATGCGTATGCAGCATGCTAGTTCTGCTCAACTGCTCGTAAATATGAATTAGTCAATAGTTTCATAGTCAACTGTACCATATCTTAATTGTTTTGTTGGTTTTAATTTGGACAATTCTTGAATCGGTAAATTTGACAATGCGGCCTCGGTTTTTACGTGTTTAAGCAAAACTAAATTTGCAAACTTTACAACAAATAATATTTGTTATTTGTATTTAGGCCTTGCTGCCACCAAGTCCACCGCTCTACTCGTTATTTTTACGGTGTGTGTGAAATATGCATATTTCATCAATTCATACCAGAAGAATGAGACAGGCGGAGAGGAAATTGTAGGAGTTGAGAAATGGTTCAAGTTCCGTAAGCATTAAGCCCGTTGCCGTCGTTATGCGACATGACGCTTTGCTTTCTCCAATCTTCCCATGTGCCATACGACGACTGTGTAGAATTCTACGTTATGCGCTGGCTGGCCGAATATGTGCATATGTGAATAGCAGTTTGAAAAGATAGGAGCAAATGACATTAGATTTTCATCCAAAGGTACGTGTATGTGTAAGGCCACATGATGCATACGAGCTGAGCGAACAGTCTCCGGCTTAAAAGCATCGTAAAAAATGCTACCTTTCCTGCAAATATTGAAGTCATTTGTCAAATCTTTCTTTGAATGAGAAAGGAAAGGGACGGATTGACTGTCAAATTTGAAATTGACTTCACTTCCCTAAAAGAGCCGCATTTGTTCACAAAAAACGAACACTGCTCAAGTCAGAAAGTGCGTAAAAAGTGCAGCACCATAGATAAAGCAGAGATCATTAGCACAATGCACTCAAACAAACCGTAGGCAATACAAAGCAGGACATAACCATGTGGTGTTCACTAAACATTAGACACACATTCAATGCACGTATGGATTTATATAAGCTGCTTCTTTAAGAGCAACGCGTCGGAACCAAAGAAGGAGTTGGGGGCGAAGAAATTCTTGCATATTTCCTAATTTTTACTCGAACTCACTGTTTGCCTGGGAGAGAGTGGTGTAAAACGAGGAATTTAAAAATAGGATGACAACAACATGAGAAAAAACGAGATGAATGAACAAGGTCCAAAGTTTGGAAGCTAGTTGACATATGACGAGCCTCATGTATTAGTTACTAAATGTAAACGTCAGCATTCTCCTTCCCCTGAGAACTGAATGTAAAGCAGGCGATGTGCAACTCGAGTAATTGTTCAAAAGGCAAAACGGGAAACTTAAAGACGATCGGACAATTAGGCTAACGGGGGAACGGACAATCCTCCAACGCACCTCCCATCCATCCTTCGTTCCCTCTCGTGTATATTTACGCATTTTGATGTAAAATTAAGTTTACCAAGAGTTTAAAGTGCGCTATATGTAACATTTCGGTAATGTAATTAATGTCACATTTCACGTTTCATGCAACCGACAACGACAACTGCATGGAAGCAATAACAACAAATGCACTTTCCGTTGGACTGGTCATTTCCTGACGAAAGCGCAGAGAGGGTCCAGTAAGTGCACCACTTACACGTACTTTCTTCCCAAGAGTGAGGGTTACCACGGCCAAGGGTTGCTCTTTGACAGAGTGTAAACTTGCTTATCCATGACATATGACATAACATGAGCATGCATGCAACCCTCCCCTTCGTCTGCGGCGTCGAGTTGACATTGGACACTTTTGCACCAATACCACGATTTTCTGGAACCCATGAATGAAGGGGAATGCAGAAAACGTGCATTAAAAAATAAATGGGAAATCTTAGGGTTATTCTCCTCAGTGGACATTCAGTTGCATGGAAAAGCATCAGTAGCTTATGCTTCACAAGAACTCTTTTGTAGGTGCACAGAAAGTTGAGGTATTGATTTCACATCTTGCTCAACAGCAAGAATGAATAGTAATGGACGAAACCCGGTGCAAAACAGTTGCATTGTGTAGAAATGCTTAACGTAACGCATTCATATGAGCTCTGTTGACTGAGGAGTCGGATGAAATTGGAAAAATAAACTCTGCCTTAGTCTGACTTGCATATCATTGAATTGTGATGCTGGAATTTCCAGAAATTTTCCAGCTGTGTCCAAAACAGTTGTCGTCACTTTTAGCCTAAACCTTCAAACCTTAACCTTCGCGAACGGTATGATTTTGGAGTACAGGATCGAAGGGGTAAACTATTCGTTTAGTCTGGTATAGAGAAGTCCTTATAGAAGAAATTAACCAACGGGTTCATGCGTAAGTGATCCAGCCCTCACACCGGGATTATTGTCGCATTATGTTAACCTAGCCCAACTAAAACGGCAAAATGATACACAAATACGATCACTACGTAACATTGTCCACCAAAAAGGGTTGCTCGTCTCACCTTGAGAAAGTCCAACGTCCCACAGCGTCCTTGAGACACGGCTACTGGCATTCTATTCGAATATGTATGGCTCATACATATTCTGTCAATGCATCATCCATAAGTACCACAAATTCATAGCAAGCTTTGCCTTACAACTTTTCTCATTCGGACACAGCAAGTTGTAACGATCGCGTCTCGAACTTTTATCACATCGCAAAAATGGAGAGAAAAACTGATAAAGGAACCGATGTCGTGTTCAAATTCTTAAAAAAACTGGGATACAATTTGTGTGTTTCACTTCACGCCATTGTACTTTTTATCCTGTTTCCCATCTTCCTCCTCCTATTCCTGCCAATGTGGCTAACACGGCAAAGTGTGAAGTTATTGGCAAAAGTAATCCGTCCAGATTTATGTGAGATGGTAACATGTGGAACGAGTACATGTGCCAACGCCAACGGAACCGAGGACAATCCGAGGATGGTAACTCTTGTGGAATTATTGTTTAGAGACCAACTCGACTTTGAACAAGTCGTGAGGGAGTTTAATTCTCGAGCCGTGGAGAAAGTGGACAACGAGGGGTCGATGGTGTACCCCAAACTCAAGCAGCGTTTGACCTCATGGCTTGGCATCTGGTTTTGGACCAAGGACGACACGTTCGACATAAAAAAACATATCACTTGCTCCACGCTGAACAAAGATTTTGTGACGGAGCAAGATTTACGTCTTGTGGAAGAGCAATTGTTGAGCAAACCCTTCACAAAGAGGGCAAGTCCGTGGGAAATGCTCGTCGTTCCAAACACTCGCCTTTCACCCGATTCATCTCACCGTCATCACTCCTGCCCCGATTTTTCACCAGCCTTCTTAACAACAACGATAATTTTTCGAATCTCACACATCCTAGCGGATGGTTACTCTGTAAAGAAACTGTTGGAGGCCGTGAGCACGGGCAAAGCCTGTCCCAAGCTCAAGATAAATTATCCGTCGAAAAGCCTCTTTCAAAAGTTTGTCTTTCCATTCAAATTCTACTTCACGATGGCAGAAGTTCAAATTCTCTCCATGATGAACTTTCCTTTCAAAACGAGGGATGTTGAAAAGTCAAAAGTTGATTCACTCCAAAGTTCGGACGTAATTCCGATCGAAACTATACGAGGGATCAAGGAACGGTACGGAGTCAGCTTCACCAGCGTGCTCATCAGCATTGCCACCGGGACATTTAGAAAGTTGGCGATCAAGAACGGAACTGAACTCACCGAGTGGATGCCTTGTGCCATTCCTCTGCCAAAACCTGGGCATCCAGACGGCTTAACAAATCATTTGTACTTGATAAACAGCAACCATTTTAAATACAAATAGGACTTTGAAGTATGTATTTAACAAAGTTGAACTTATAAAATATCGTGTTTATGGTTTACAGCACTCTGGCCGTCATGCCGCTTCCGATTGGAATTGAGAATCCAGTACAACGACTCCGGATTTGTCATAGAGAACTTTTAAATCTGCGATCGTCGGCGTATCCCGCATCAGCGGCCTGTTTCATGACCGTGTTTGGATCATTTTTCAATAAAGTGGGTGAAATAATTGGCATTAACACATTTTCTGCCGTCAACATATCCTACTTGCCGAGTGGGCTGGAGAATATTTCATTTCTGGGCGTGGACATTATTGGCCAAACTTTTTGCATGCGAGTTCAAAAGGGATCTATCGGTAATAAGAACTTATGTATTCGTACTTTATTAAAACTGTACGTATAAAAGGTGCAGAGTAAGAATGTGGCATTTGTATGAATGGAACAGGAGCTGTGATTGCCATTTCCAGTTATAAGGATCGAATCCAAATGCATGCCACCGTCGACACCAATGTCGTGCCAAAGGAGATCATGACAGACTTTGAAACTATAATCAAGCAGGAAGTTGCAGGATTGAAAGAGCTGAACGGCCACAATTATCGTGATGTCTAATTCAATGAAACACATGAAAATAAAGCATCATAATTTAATTTAAAGAGACAAGCAAACTGCTGCACCTTGATAGCTTTTCGCACCCAAATCACGACAAAATCTCAAAATCCTGTGACACAAGCATAATAATGATAAAAATATTTGAAATTTTACTACTTTACCCCATTTCAACGTGTTCAACCTGTCAATGGAATGGCACAGATTATCATTATCGTTTCATGCGAAAGTATGCCTTGCGATTAAATCATACTTTAATTCGACCAAACCTACATATTTAGGTATTTAGCCTTCGTCTTCTCGTGGCTAAATAAGTGTATGCTCTTTAGAGCTGTCCACATGGCATAATTTGGGTCTTGGTTTCTTGGTGCGATGGCGTAATTTGGGGAGTGTCAGTCATTCAAAATCTCAGGTTTTAGCTGAACATCTCAGAGAGCCATCCTGCCATTACGAAATTATGATTTAACAAGTCCTGCCACCCAGAGAGAGAAAAGTTTCCCATGTCTGAGCCTTGGATGACGAAAATTATGATGATTATTACCAATCTGGCATCGACCTAAGGAGGAGAGTACGCCAACCTGATAATGACAGATCTTGATGTCCTTTGGATATATGGTAGTACCCCCTCTGAAAGTAAAAAGTGTGAAGCGGTTTGATGCCATGGCCCAATTTACGCCCGTCACACCCCTTTGAAGGCGCGCCCGATGCCAAACTAACTGCACTAAAAAATTCGCCAAAAATCCAATTTTGTTCGGATTTTCATAATAATTATATATTTGTGATCCCAGATAGTCCCTTTATCATATTCAGTTGCAAAATTAACTTTTCAGAAATTTTCAATATTTTCGAATATTTCCTGAAAAGGGCATGGCTTGAAAAAATTCAAAATTCCAAAAAAATTCAGATTGATATCTGATATGATAAAGCAACTATGTGGGATCATAAATATGTAACTATTATGAAAATCCGAACAAAATTGGATTTTTGGCGAATTTTTTAGTGCAGTTAGTTTGGCATCGGGCGCGCCTTCAAAGGGGTGTGACGGGCGTAAATTGGGCCATGGCATCAAACCGCTTCACACTTTTTACTTTCAGAGGGGGTACTACCATATATCCAAAGGACATCAAGATCTGTCATTATCAGGTTGGCGTACTCTCCTCCTAAGTTTCCTCCAACTGCATTCGCGTACGCATTATAATAACGCTGAGCCCGCACATTTATGTAGATCTGATCGAAACTGATTGAGTCGAAGCACCCATTACCACGTTAACAGTTCAAATTTAGGCAAAGTCTTGAGCCAAGATGTTGCCTGGCTGAACTAATCGCCAAGAAAAATGATGACGACGATTTCAATTTCCTACGAAATAGTGGGTGATATATAATATCAGACAAACGTTACTTGGCTGACAAACATGAGGGCAAAGTAAGCGAAACTCTGGCGAAAGCAAATCAAGGAGGTGACCCCACTCCTTGTTTCTTCCAAGACCATAAATTATGAATATTAATTGTCGATGAGAGTAGGATCGCGGTCTTGAATAAAAAAAAATCGCTCAAGGTGTATTATTTTGCTTCCAAAATATAAAACTGGTTCAACTGCTGGTCGATTCATCACAAGTTATTGGACAAAAGGCAGAAACTTTTGGTCTCGCTCGCTCGAAAAGCCGTCCACAAGTTTTGGTGGTCCAGAAGTTACTTTTGTCAAGAGATGTTTGGAGTTGAAATATGCAAATGCCTTTATTATTTCTCGTGAGTCATGATTTAGTCAAATTTTAAATGTGGAAAAGGGCCATCGGACAAGTCATTAAACTAAATATAGTGTATCCACCGTTGAATCGTATGCATTCCGTTGCATCCTATACGCTTATCAGAGTGGGTTCATATTATTGTTATGAGATTCCGTTTTGACATGCCGGCATTATGCACAAACTGCTTTGTTTCAGCTCCTAATGTGAAATTCTTACGAGACAGGCGCATTTTTAACAGTTCCTTAACAAATGAGGATGACCGTGCATCTCTCGTCGTTTATTGTTCCTTGTTCCAGGCGCTTCAAATACGCGTCGTATACAAATGCATTGATCGGGATGATGCAGGAATCTAGAGATGTCTGGACACGACAGAAATCGACACGGATTGGTATAAATAATATTCGTTAAGTGAAGCTTGTTCACTGCTCACAAAAAATTGCATTACCTGCCCCTTACAAGTTCAAGTTCTATTTATGTAGTGACAAACAATGCCATTCCAGGACCATCATCATCATCGCAGCTGGGATTGATTTATGCAGCATGGGAAGAACGCGACAAAAAATTTGTGACTACGATAATTCACGTAAAATGATGGAAAGACCACTCCTCTAACGACGGGGCTTGTGTTCGGGGGCATTGTTGCACGTGGATAGTGTTTCTCACGGGTTCGGGTTCTTACTTCGGGTTTCGGGTTCGGATTCGGGTTCGGGTCCTGCTTCGGATACGAAATTTCAGAACCCGAAACTTTCGGGTCCGAAAAATTTGATCCCAAAATTTCGGGTTCGGGTCGGGTTCGGGTTCCGACTAACAACCCGAAACCCGAATCGACAAGAATTTTTTGCCACAACGAACGCGAAAAAGTTAAAAAAGAAAATTAAAGTGTTGACCACACTTGCCAGGACGGTTATGCTGCCGTGATTCAGTAAACAATTCAAATTTTTAATTGTCGTAATTTTTTTTCACAAGTGTCTTCAATTAGTGTTATGATTTGAATATTAAAATAAAATATATTTTTTTATCAAAAATTTGCTAACTAGTTAGCTTGAGCATACTTTAATATTGGAAACTTGAAACTGAAAATCATTTTCAGTTTTCAACTAATTTAAAAATTACTAAATGACACGGAAAGCCATTATTAAGGGTCGATTTTTTGAGATTGCATTATTGTGGTCGAGGAATTAAAATTCAGAACATTTTAAAATGCATTATGTACTTATGCAGAAATGTGCTTAATTATAATTCCTAGGCCATATTTACAGATAGTATTGTTGGTTTGAAAGCTTCCAAAGAATTTTTAGCTAAAAATTCAGCCCACCCATTAAAATTAAAATATATTCGGGTTCGGGTTTCGGATATGATCTGCTAGTTCGGGTTCGGGTCCTTTCAAACGGGTTTCGGGTTCTTCGGGTTCGGGTTGCCCTCGGGTTTCGGATCAGTGGTATCGGGTTCGGGTTCGGGTTTCGGATTTGCAAGAACCCGACCCGTGAGGAACACTACACGTGGAAAAGGCCAGATCTGATGCAAAAGGTCCCTTTGTACAAAACATCGCTTAACGAGAATTCAACGACAATGGTAATGTTCACATTCTGAGGGCAGACATTTATACCCACTTGGGCTCATTTAGCCAGAAAACTTATCCACGGTATGCAGCACACTAAAATAAATACGGCTATGCATTGTATCAGTGGGATGAAATAGATGTGGTATGCACATATGTATGTAGCTTTTGAAATTGACCCAACATTCATTTCCATGATATTTTTCGAAACATTGGATCACAAGCTACAAAAATATTGTTCTCACTTTCACTTCATTCAGAACTGTGCATATGAACTTACACACACGTCTGATTGTAGTATCAGTCTTCATAATAAAAACTACAATCTTTTATTATCAATGCACACAAGTCAAAATAAGGGCGCTTATCTCTCTCATTAATTGGAAACGATATGCAGTAATACATAATCCAGCCCAACTGTGGTCCAAGTAAGTACATACGTATGTGCCCATATGAAAAATAGGTCAGCCGGCTTGGGTGAGCTACGCAGGGTCTTGGTGGCACTTTAATATAAACTGACAGCGACAGGACAGGACTCATATCTCGCGAGGGGCCAAGTCCGAAAGTGTTGAGGAGGGAAGGGTCCGATGTTTTCATTATGATTATAATAAACAGTCAGTTTTTATGACGAGTCTAGACACATGTGCTACCTTCCCACTCTCTCCGACTCTTTTACCATTGCATTTACAACCGATATGGACTGTATGGACCCGGAACGACATGCACGTAATAGTACCGTGATAGGGCTGAGAGGGGCCCTTTGTTAAAGAGGCCCTTATTCCGGCTTGTTAAGAGTGTATTCCAGGACTTGTTGTTGGGCTGGATCATTCAAAAACGGCAGAATTCATTACAAACTTAATATTTAATCACGCCACTATAAAATTGGTTCTTCGATGCTATCAAAATATAATCCCGCAAGAATTTCTTGCCTCTCTTAATTTTGTGTTCTTGTCAACTTTCACTCACCACGTTGCTCGTAAACTTCTCATGTTTTCTTATCATAAAAATGATCTGAAAATGTAGTGCATGTCCCCTCCAAAATCTGGTCACAATCTTTCACTGCATCCCTGAAAAGTGTGAAAGGGCTGTGTTGGCTGAGTGTGTGTGTCCCTTGACATCTGTCCCAAAGTAAATCACCATCACGAAGCACAACCCCAACGGTCCCTACCCTTCCTTCTTTGTACATTAAACCTTAAAACCTCGCGGTTGTCAGAGGTCCATTCCCAAGTTGTAAAATAAACATTCAGATCGACTTTAGGATCAACACCACCATGCATTTGACTAAATGCATATACTGCGAGCCGGCGTATTTGCTTATGGACTTATACTTTCCAGCTTACTCAAGATCTCGAGATTATTCTAAACGCGAGATATTTCTGGCTTATAATTCTACAAAATTCAAAACATGGTAAAAGTTGGAGTAAAACAAAACAACTTAGTAAACTCTCTCCTTTTCACGAGAAAACTTACAAGGTCTGACTTTTACTGTTTTTCTACCTAAAAGCTGCATGCCTTGAATATTTTTATGGCCTTCGTTCTTGTTTCTTTAAAATCGGTCATGTTATATCATTGCAGTGGAAGTTGACTGGCTTAAAAGTTGGGATAGGAACAAATGTTCCACTCGTCAGAAGCTCATGCAGTCTTAACATTTGCTCTCGAGTGAAATGAAATCCGATCTGGGAGGATTATGTACTTTTGAAAATCTGAGCAAACTGGAGACGAGGATGGATATTGAGCAGTGGACAAGTTGCCCAAAATTAAAACGTTCAATTTTTAGACGACGGGGGACAAACATGCCAAGAACAAATCGATGCTTGAGTGTTGTACACTCCTCCATCATGTATTTAGATGTTGCGTAATGTAATGTCATGGTTGGTGGGGAAGAGGCAAAAATGTAGACGGCAAATTACTGACCAGTGACTGCCAGCAATCCGTAATGCCAATGACTGCCTAAGTATAAGTAAGCCCAGAAATAGCTCAAGGAGACGTACATGAAATCTTAAAGGAGGCGTTTAACTCTAAATTTATAAAACTACATGAATATGGGTTTTCCACACAACTCTTTATGACCACCAAACAACAAAGGGTTCACAAAAGAGGATTTATCAGCCCACCTCATGTTATGACTCACGAAGGTTCCTTTTCAAATGTTCGTTTGCTTCACACTCTCCTCTCGCCCGTTCCTCCAGAGAGAGTGACCCTTGACCCGTCCTGTGGTTTGTGGCATTAATTTATCTCCGTAATGATACTCACTCACTACAACTCCGTACGGGAAAAGGAGTGTCCGTGTGTGTGAAATTGCTCATGATGATGATGATGATCCATGTAAAAGTATTTAATTTTTTGTTGGCCGCATCTTAACTTGTGCCACGTTGAGAGAGAAGGCACATCAGAAATCTTGTGAGAAAGCTGCAATTAAATTACCAGCTTGAAACTATGCGGTTGTTTGTGTTCGGAATCAAACGCAAAATGTGCACTGTCCGCACTAAATAATACACAGAGACCGGCACAGCTTTTTCAGAGTCTTTTCGATCTGATCTAATGATTATGATGGATTTACTTTCAGGAAGTTTAAAACTACTTTTTACATTGAATTTTAAGAGAAATATTTGCTTGTGTTTCACGATGAATGTGAGAATGTTGCTGTCCTCGTCTGAAAACTTTGAGAGGATTTCGTTGCGTTTTGTTTCGAATTAGGAAAATGCACACTCGAGACAGGGCAAATCCAATCTGATGTTTCTCAGACTTATTGCATTAATGGTTCAACGGTTATTTTAGAGTTTCTTGATAAATGCGCTGTATTGCGTAAAAGGTCTTTGAGCAAAGAAATGGTGGTAGAACCATCGCCGCCATGCAAAGCCTCTTAACTCTCAGCATCTGATAATATTCCACGTTGTAGAAAAAAAACACACATGAAAAGTCGGTAATGCTCATGGGAACTTCATAATCCGCATTTGACAGTTACATTCTTCAACCATCGGCTGTACGCGTTTAGCCGTGTGTACATACAATTCCAATTAAAAGTAAAAGTTAGAAACTTGCAATCTGGGCAATCATAATGTTTAACTAAGCCTGGAAAACACTATTTTTTAGGGGGAATCGATTACTATTAAATCTATTGTATAACCATAATGTTCAATATTCATAAAAACTATGAGGACAATAAAACAATCCATTTTCCGATACCTAAATATTGCAGCATTGGAACTCGAGGTTTTTTTGTATAAAAAAAAGGTCTTTCACACATCTGCACTAAAGATCTTTCGATTTCCGATCCAATTCAATCGTAATCTGATTGCCTTCCAGTATCATGAGTCCAAGCAAACCAAGGACAGAATAAAGCACTTTTGCTTCCCTCCTCTGCCAAAGACAAATACTTGCACTTCTCTCTGCCAAATCCGAAAATCCGATATTTTGACAATTTCACCAGCTGCAGATGCAAACGGAATCGTTTTTTCCAAGATAAGACCATTTTGTCGCTTCTCTTGTGGTCCGCCTTGTCTCTGTGGTGGTGTCATCCCGATTCTGACAACTTTGGTGCTTTGAAACGAATAGCAACTGCAGGACTGATCTTGATCTTGATAGATGTGCATTTTTCGGTGGGCTCAAATGCTTTGAAAATCACGCAATAATAACATCCGGGACGTGCATACATAGAATTATGATAAAAATCTTTCTTCGATTGAATGAACGGTACGCTGTAATGGCGTTCAATTAAATATTCCAGTTCATACATACGTGTCCACGAAATAAATAGTGGTTAGTCGTCATTTCACGGTATCGATTAACAAGATTTACCAGAGAATCTGGCAAGCATTTGCTCTGCACTTCTTGGTTGAGGGATGTTTAGTTGGCAGGATCCTAAAAATAAAAAAAATGTCTTCACTATTTTCACTTTTTCACCCCAACCTCCAGTTTTCCGCACTTTTACTTCCATTTCATCAAAACGATTCCCCACAAAAAGTGGAAATCCAAGGAAAAAGAGACAGTGAAAGACACAAACACACCAAAAGAACTTTTTTTCTTTTCTTTTCCCCCTTCCGATCCCGATTATGACAGACTCAGGCTCATCTCATCTCCACCGATTTTGACCATTTTGTGTCGTCTCCTTCTATTCCATGAAAAGAATTCTGGAACTGAATGAATTCTCTTTCTATAACTTATCTCATCCTATTAAAAGCTTGTTCACTGTTCGAGATTGTTCATCCACAAATTACTCAAGCTTGGAGCAGTAATTCTCCTAATCAATACACGAATCCAAAAAAAATTGTACTGGGAAAGTTGGAAATAGTTTTAAGACGGAAAATTGCACTGATCAGAATTGTGTGCACATTTTACTACGCACACAGAGAGAGAAGGATGCAGCAGACGCTGGGGCTAATCTAATCTTAGCCAGAGACAGTTGGAACATAGTGCTGCACTGCTTTTCAATGAAGTGTCGCATTTCCTGGCAGCATATCGAGCCCCACGGCCTGTGGGGAAGGAAGAGGAGTGGGAGTTGAGGAACTTTCTCCAGTCCAGAGCGGAGAAAGATGTATGATTATTGCATTTCCTCCTCTTCGTCTGCAGCAGAAGCACTTCCTCAACTCATGCTCTGTGAACCCGTAAACTCTTCAGGTGAGCTTTTTTCTAGCCCTTTGTGAGCTATGGATGCATGCTACGAGAGAACGTGCACCTGAACCCGGCAGACTCGGATATTTACACGGAAGCATTTTATCTCGAAAAATAACTTTCTCTCTCTTTCCTTCAAGTCGCAGAATTTAACCCTATTTCCTTCCCCTCGGTTCCGGACTCTGTTAATAATATGTTGCATTGCAGTCTTGGCGTTGTGTGAGGTCTCTGAGGTGAAAGAGACCGACTAGATTAGATACACATATCAGACCTGTTGTATGTAGCACACCAATATCGACTGCTTGCATAAGCGAAATTGAAAATAGTGTGAAATTCCAACTATATATGGATCGAGTTTCTCTTAAAAAGTAGTCAATCTACACAGTACCACTGGGAACCTTGCTCTATCAATTTCATGGAAACACAATTGCAAAGTTACGCAGTTACAAAATCACATGGTGAGAGTGGGGCCCAAAATATTTGAGCCTCCTGTTTTGTCAAGCTCTTCACCCACCCCCAGTCAGCCAGCCGTCTCTTCTGCAGGAGAAGAAATGGTGTTTACATAGCTCAAAGAATTATAGAATTCATAATGGTCCGGATTTTCCGAGGATTTCATAAAGAATTAATAACATCTCCCTTCCCCATCAGACTCGGAAGACCAAGGACTGCATTTGTTAGTCTGGATCGAATTATGGGAGCGCTCCGTGCTTAATAGATGATGGAGTTAGGGAGATGCAAATTGAACCGACTCGCAAGCAATTAGCTCCCAACCTCAACCGTGCCCCGTCCGTAGCAACCCTTTCACCTCTCTCTCTCTCTGCGTAATACACGCATTTGCATCTCCACAACTGACTTGCACGCATTTTCAAAGCCAAAGTCAGTCAAGAATAAATCGAACTCTTTATTCGGTCACAGGTATGGAATATTAATTAGCAGAGGGCAGATTTTCCTTGTAGATATGCAATCCATTAGACCAGATCACTCAACTTTGGTCCTAGCAAATTCCTCAATCAGTCGGTAAATAGCGCAATATCTTCTTTCGCTATTCCGCTCCATTAGCTGGGAATTTCGTATTTATTTAAATCCAAATGTGTTGCAAATTCTGAGCAATAAACTGCTTCAAAAGTTGCAAACTGCATGACCAGAAAACAATGCATTTAGAATAGTTAAAAGCGAAGGAAAGGTTTTTGTGAATTGCATTGCGTTGCATATTTGCATGGAGTGTGTTATTGGGCAGGTTTGGCTGGTTCTCGTTGGCTCACTGCCGTGTGTTCTCCCCTTTTGCCTCAGTTCAACTCAGGCTCTCGACGGAGTAAGTCTGTGTCGCTCTTCGCCTCGTAAACTTCTCTCGGATTCTCACAAGTGCTGCTCATCGTTATTATCATCCGACGGTTCAAGGAAAGTAATTGTTGCTGGATACCGTTATCTTTGCCTCTGCAAACAACGAGGTTTCTTAGCGAGGAGTGCTTTGGGAAGTGAAAAATTAAAAGTATATTGTCCCCAGTAAAGCCATCTCAAGTAAGTTTGATCATCTCTTAAAAGTGAGCTGTCTCTGTTTTACGACGGTCCCAACGTCGCCTTCAAGTTGTAAAAGTGGAAAAGGGACGGAAAAGTGAAAAACTAACAGTGATAAGGACGAGATTGTTTGGCACGAGTGGTAAAAGTGACCTCCTTGTCGCCTCTTCTCTGACTTTCCGTCGTCGTCGTCGTCTCATGTGAATGCATTTCTTTATCTCATTTCAATACTACTCACTTCATATGTATTTAGGAGTTAGCTAACTAAGCAGCAGTGAAAAGCGTTTGTTTTGCTCGAGAATTATTTAGTTAAATCTTGTCAAAATAATAAGGCTTGTGTTTATGAAAAATTTTGAATGTCTAAAGGACTGGGCATAATTTAACGGAATTTTGTGGTTTTGTGTGTGCCAGAGTGAAAAGTGAAAAGGGACCATAATTAATAGTCCTGCCTGTCTGCCATCATAAAGTGCTATCATTTCCAACAATCTTCTTTTCTGAAAAACGATAATTCAAAAGTTAATAAGACACTGTAATCACGGGTTTGATTCAAGACAAAGTGTGTTTAGTGTGGTCGCATTTTTTGGAGTGGATCAGATGGATTACTCAATTTTGGACTTGGATTAAACGCTGAGACGAGAAAAGGTGAGATAAGAATAATAATAATACCCTTCTTCGTTCTTCATAAGTCTTGCCCAGAAATAAGTTGGGGAATTGGAACCGAGTAGAAATGGTGAGACTGGGAATTGAGTCGGAGGTAAATCGCTGAAAGGTATGAGAGAAAGAGTAAGTCGACCTTTCATAATTATTACCTGGATTCGATTTCTCTCGAGATTGGTTCCATTATGTCACCCAAAAATATGTCGTATATGGAGAAAAGTGATTTTTTTCCGAGTGAGTGTGCAAACTCATCAAATAGCGGATCAATTATTGCCTCGCTCGTCATGTGTCCAGTCAAATACACCATTCTCCACTTTTACTTTATCTCAATCTGTCTCTCTCTCTTTCGTCTGATTGTGATTTACTCATATATTCTTGGACGAAGGGGTTTCGCAACTGCTCTTAAACAATAAATCTCATCATTTGACTGACTTTGTTACTTCTGGGGTCGGTGGGGTGCGGTGGTAGTGATGCGGGTAGTAGTATGAGCAAGGAAGGCAAATAAATCTCTCCACGTTAAGATTTCAGTTTAAAGAGCTGCAAATTACATTTTCCTCATCTACTCTGTGCTACCTTGGCCATTCTATGAATAGAAAATTAAGCATGAAATACAGTTTTGAGAGATAATGAAGAAAGAGCCAAGACCAGAAGGAGCTGGGTCATAAATTATACTCAGCGGTTTGTTAATTTGGCCAAACCTGGCAAATTCTCAGTTCTTAAGTAAAATAGGGTGGTAGCCTGCAGTACGTGTACAAGTGGCGTCAAAGTTTTGCTACCTCAGCATTTCAAACAACGTAAAGACCCTTCATCTCTTCACAGCAAAGAACCACGGCGACCAACCACCACCTGCTTGCCTTTAGGATAAAGAGGAAGTGTTAATTAAATCGTATATTTTATTCTAACTTGATTATTAATTCGAATGAGTCAAGTTTGCTCGTGTTTCCTCATAGCGTACCCAAAACAACGTTCTGCCGGAATTTGATGCAATCGATCCGCACTTAATTATAGGCTTGCGTTATTTTTCACTCCAGACGGCTGACCCCATCGCAAAAGCTGCTGGCATTCTGTGTTCATCTAACATGAAAATTTGTACTTTTTTTGAGATATGTTAAAACAGTTGGACCTTTATAAGGCATCATTCGTTTGGTGAAATTATGAATTTTTATTTATTTACCGCTAATTGCGAACTTTTTAAGGAAGTGGCATAAATAACGTTAATTTTCGTACTTGTTTGACGTACGACATTATTGCAAATAAGTTTTAATAAACTTGTAAGCAAAGTTTTGGCTTGATGGTTGTCAGTGAAGAGTATTCTTTACGATGTTTTCGTTAGTTGGTAGCCGTTCGCTTTAAACAATTACTCACATAAATATCTTTGAGGGATTATTCAAATTGAATCCATATTTGGCCACCCATTTTTCTCCGGTGCTAGCCTGAAAGTTACTTTACGATGAATGAATCCGTGTGGAAATGTACAACAATAAAAAACAATCAGAATTCTATTAACATTTCAAGTCTGGAGACGTTTGGCTTTAGGAATTGTGTAACATATTTTGAATTGTCGCTATCCTTCATCTTATTCATATTTTGTTGTTGTTGGTTTGTGTGCAAGCCAATTCATGCTCTGTTAGTTCATCTCGATTCGAGATTCTCGAATCGTTAATCGTATCTCTCACAATCCAACAGCAATCTCAGTTTGTCTCCTTATAAGGGAAATTGTTTTTATTGGCTTTCGTTGACTATTCGACATTCCGGATTCTTTGTCTGACAATTATCTATATTCTTGTATAAGTTTATGCTTGTAAAAATCTTGTCATATTTGATATATGGAGCAAGAGAATGGCAGCTATCTGCAGATGATGAAAACTTGTAGTGAGCACACTCATCGTCGCTTCTTGGGATTATTTGGTACAATAAGTGAAACAAAATGTGTGGAGCCTTGTAATTAAATCAGAAGGTTGCAAACTTTTGTAACAAAGAATCAAGTCAGTTTTGGCAATGTTGTGGCGTGACTAAGGTGTTTGAAAAGGAGTTGCACATTGCACTACTAAAATCTGATTGGCACTAATGATAGGTGTCGATAATCGGTCATCATCATCATCTGGCGGCTTTGGCCCACCACACCATTCAGAGAGGAGGATAGGGATAAATGGGTCTGGAACTTAAACTGAATCATCTTTATTTTGTTGATGTACCAATTACAAATTAGTCCATGATTTTTTGGCAGAGTGAAACCTATATACATAGCTTTTGTTACGTCTGGATTTTTTCGCATTTAATTGCACGGTGTCGCCAGAATTTTTTTCTGCAAATAAGAGTTATATTAAATGCTAATCTAAATGGTGGTTATTCTACGAACAAATTTGGAAAATGTTCTCGGATTCTACATAGCTGGCTGAACAAAGAAATCAACTCAACATTCACAGTCTCAAGTTTAATTTCAGTGTATTAAGTAAGCGTTGGCACTGTGGGCATCTGCTGATCTTGAAAATTGATCTCCCTTACATATTGTCTTGATTCTATTGTTTTAGAATTTTGATTAAGTACTTGATTAAGATGTTGGAGTAGGCAGGATAATAGTTGGATAAAATACGGCGTCATGTCAGATTTCCTTCCTTCCAAGGCATGATTAGCCAATGAGTAATGGTTGTAGCTGTTGAAGTCGCATGCAATTTAAAAAGCGGCTACTGCTTAATGCTATCCAGCTACAAACCTGAATCGAGTACATTGATAGATAAAACGCTAGAAAGCATAAATTCTGGAGTGTATTTCATGAAATTGCTCCACGTTTAAGAGGTTAGATAGTGAAGGATCATTTATTTAATATTTAATCCGGATTTCAATCTGAATAATATAAACCTATCTCGCCCATCGTTATTCGGCGAGATTTTAAGAAGACTTGATTAGCAAAGTGACCTCTGGAACTGATGGCTTACGATTCGTAACGTCTGGAACCAGATCTCCGGGTCGAGTTTCGTGTAAATTAAATAATTTTGCGGCCTAACCACATACCAAAACGTCCAACGTGATGATCATTTTATGCAAACCTTGTTGTTGAACATGAATCAACAAATTAAAAAGAAACTGACACTCTGCTGATCCTTCACTGCACACACATTATTATGATCGACAAGCATATTAGAAATCTTGGAATGCATCGAAGATTGACTAATGTGACTTTCAATTGAAGTATAGCATAGCGTTCATGGGCTTGTCGTTGTCATTTGAGAATCTGAAAGAGCTTGATGTGTGTGTGTGTGTAGAATAAATCACGAGAACGAGCCTTCTTGCTTGGTAATCCATTGGCGCTTTATGTAGTGATTATTGAAGCGAAAATTTAATGGCTAATCATTAATTTAAACTTAATTACTAAACCGGTACCAGACAACCCAACCAACTTAATATACCTGCTGATTTTAGCAGATTACAAAATAGCTGTGCAGACTAGTAATTCCAAGTAAAACACTTTAGGAAATTACTCGACAGTAGTCGTGGTGGTAGTCACATAATGTTATAATGGACACGAAATTAAGAAAATATATTGACTGGTACTATACATAAACATGTCCAGTCTATATTGAGTTTACTTGAGTTGTGATAAATTGGCAAGGGAAGAACTTGTTTTATTATAAGAAAAGAAGCCCCATCGAGTACTAAGGAGTTATTGTAGACAAGAAAGCAATCAGCAACTGTTGAAATTATTACCCGTTTTTAATTTGATGCGTGAATGATGGATTTACATTTAAATGCAAAAATTCTGCATTACTCCATGGGTTTTTGATTCCCTGTTGTGATAAATAGACAGGACCCTCTTTTTTGCAAAACATAGTAGTATGCGCATATATGTATGCACATATGTTACTTTACAATATTTCTGGTTGTTAATACAAGTCGTGGTCATTTGCAGCGTCAGTTATTATTATGCTTGATACAGAATCAACCTAAAAAGCAAACATCAGTTGAATTATGGATAAAGTTTGGTGGACCTCGGAACAGTTGAACAGTTGAACACGAAAGTTGGAAAAGTCGCAAATAATCAGCTCACATTAGTTTTGGTGCCTCTAATACTTACATTCGCTCATAATTTCGCCTTACTTCATTATTGGAGCAGATGGTTCCCATTCCAACTTCCACCACAGCCACTCAAATGTTTCAAGAAGGGTTCAATGAAGAGAGAGTCAAAGAGATAATCTTCATCATCTCTCTGTTAGTGAAACAAACAGATGGGTCGCATAATTTATTAACTTAAAGACACATGCCAAACACAGTATGCAAATTATCACAATGTGGGCTTAAGTCTTTTTTATTTGTGACGTGTGCGAGATGAGGATTGTGCTGCAACTATGTAGAAAATATTGAATAACATTACTTGAGGAGTAGCCCTTGTGGAGTAGAACGAGGATTTCGGACGAATAGATACATAGCCTTTGCATAAAAAATCTATCATTTGTGCAACCACCACCACCATAGGTTTGCGTGTTTTAATAGAAATATCCACAAGTCTGGTCTACTATTCGGATGGCCACTTGTGAAACTAGGTTGTGTTTGCTTATTCGACTATTGTGCTTGGTTGGTGGCGACTTGAATAAATGGCGAGTCATGTCATGATTCAGTTTCCCGTGGACGGAGAAAGTAACACATTAATCATTCATTTATACGCTGGCGTCCATCCATCCGCCCGTCTCTCAATTTCAAAATCCTCTCTCACAACCAACAACACAAAGTATCGCCCATTTATCTCCCGTTCATTATTCCCATTCATGAATCACTTATGAAACTTGAGTCTTGCCGTATGCAAACTTTATTGCTCACCTGCACAGTATAGCCAGCAGCAGAAAAACGCTACAATACGATGTGGGATATAATTTGTACGGTTATATGTACCTTAGGCTGCTTCCGAATTGAATTTAATGGAGAACGGCATTCAGCACACATGGACAGTTGTCTATCTGTAATTTATGTTGTGTTGTGCATGCATGGTATTA